GTTCTCTAAATGCCGTTTGAACTAATTTTCTTAATGCGATTCGAGTTTTTGGCTTGATTTTAGAACCCACACGCCTTTTGTCACTTGCGCACAACATTTGGACATTGTAGGATACTAGAACGTACACTTTAGAAGTATCTTGAATGCCTCGTATACTTCTGTTGGTTGTACCACGATCGTAAAACACTTTATTCATGTAATGAAGGAGGACGCATCGGCAGTGTTTTTATTAATTTGAGATTGGGTGTCACAAACAACTTTAAGGCATGGTTATTGTGAGTAATTAGGAGTCACGACTTTTGCGCCTATACCAACTGGGAGGGAGAAAAGTCTTTGTGAAAGATAAGTAGATAGTTTACACTCACTCGAAGTACCAGATGGCTAGTTAAACGAAAAGAAAATAGGCAGAAGTAATGAGTTAACCTAAAATTTGTGCTTTATCTCAGGACTTGGCCGTGAGGTATCAGTTGTTTCAGTAAGCTGGCATGGAGTCATGTGGTGTGGTATGAACTTCGAACAACGGTTTTATGAATTCTTTCCGGCTATCGATAAACTGTGAGGATACTGTACTGCCAAAAAATGCATATTTTCACTAGTAGCTAATGCTTTGACGCTTTGCTATGCGCTTTCACGGTTGGAAGAGGGGCTTCTGTGCGAGCATTATCGTGACCACCTTTTACAGAACGTGAGCAGGAAAATATATTTGTCGACCGGTCGTTAGACAAGGTATCCCGTTTGGCAGAGGACAGCTTGAGTGCTTTGAATCAAGAATGTACAGCCTTTACAGTCATTGACATGCAATCGAATGGTGAGTTTACTGCACAAATATCAAAGATTCAACCGTTTTTACCGCAAATCAGCCTGTTTTAAATTCTAGCCTGGAAAATTGAAATCCAAAACCTGTGCTAAAGTGTGGGATACAGTCATGATGTGACTTTTATCGTGGAATTTTTATGAAACGGTGGATTATTATTTAAATTACTTAATTTGCATAGTTTTTTTAGAATTACACAACAAGGAACTAAAAGTTAGTGCGATTGACGATTTGACGGCGGCACAGAGGGATGAAGATAAAAAAGGTGAGTTCATTTGAGCCTGAGTTATTAGCTGAATTTTCTGACCGTTTACTGTAGTATTGTGGTGAAATATTGCATTCTACTGTCGTAATTCGCCTTAACTAGACTCAGTGTTCAAGAATTTTTGCCGTAATTCATTTAAAGATACATTTTTTTGCATTTTTATTAAACCTGCGGCCGCTGGCCACCATGAGCATGCTTAAAACTACGCTAGAAAAAGTTATTTGAACCATTGGAAGATGAAGATTATTCCCATAAATTAGATATTCAACATTATTTACCAACTTCTTAGAGGAGCCACGAGACGCTTTAGAGCTGATTGCACTCCATAAACATGCGCTTAAAGACGTTGAAAACACCGGGGAAGTTGTAGTGCAAACGGAAGAGAATGATTTAACCCTAGAAAGTGCAGACTACGATGAATAAAACTTGGTGGACTCCAAAGATGGGCCATCTCATCAAGTTTAACTAGCGTTATTTCTGTAAATGAAACGTACATGGTGTACTGGTCTGTAAAATTGCAACTCTGTTGTTATTATATAACGCAGTATATTGTGGGTGAATAAGTGCATTTTCTTGTCTTGCTTAGAAGAAGTAAGATCGAAGGAGGATGAAGTCCTACTTACAGAAGAGCCTCTTAGTGCGGTAAAATTAGATCCCTCGGGAGCAAATGGAGAAAACGCCCGCGAAGTTCAGGCAACTGGTAGGCAAACTACTGAAGTTAATTCAGTGTTTCAGTAGAGTTGGCTTTTACTCATGCGCTTTTTTTTGCTCGGCGAAACCAAAGAAATTGAGTAGCAACTATGTTTGCGTTTATATTTTACAGAAAAAAATGATCGCTTCAGCGATCCCAATAATTTTGATTGAGTAAAGCTTTACCCGAACGTGGCGAAAAATTTCCTTATTCTCAAACTTTCAAACTAAAAATTGCCCCCACTTACGCTAGGTAAGGAACAACCAAACCATTTGGAGGAAGATCAAACGCTGTTAGGTATGCAGGAGGTGAAGGAAGTAGACACGACTGGTCAAGATAAAGGTTAGTTCACTTTTTGGATAATAAAATGATTTGTGCGTTTTTTGGTATAGGTCGCTGCAATGACTTACAACTTCCGATTATGTATTTGTATTGTATAGTAAAGTAATCCGCTAGTCCATCGTTGCCCTGTCGCTGTGAGCCCTCATATCCTGACATTTCGACTGAACTAGCCTGAGGGTTATGAACCACAAGCTTTAGAATTTGATCTCAGCTCAGATTTATAACTACAGTAGATTTGGAAAATGATGTCGCATTTGAACCAGAAGCGGCGGTAAGTCTTGCCGCAAAGGAATGGTTAAAATCAGCGTTTCAGTTCAGATGATGAACCACTCGAGGAAGAGAGAACCTTCTCTTACCAATAAAGAATAGTGAGATTAGCATGTGAGGAACAAGTGTCGATAACGTTAAATCTGATTGCACCTGAAACAACTCATTAACATCTGTTTGGTATAGATGAGGAAATGAATAGACAAATGACAGTAAAAAGCCACAATTGGGTGGTTATTTACCGTTGTGCCCTTTAAAAATCCAAAATACAGAATGATATGCCTTGTATGATACACAACCCAATGATTAAGTATTCACCTTGTACTTCCCTCCTTGTGTGTTCAGAGGGACATCTAGAAGTATGCGCAGAGGAAGTGTCTGATAATCAGCATTTAATGGAGGACACCCAAGGGTCAACAGACGGTGCACGCGATATGGAAGTAAAGGAATCTACCCCAACGGTAGTAGAAGAAACGTCGGGTAATTCACACTCAAATGTTTGGTCACCAGATGAGTTGCAATAAGGTGAAAGCTGTCCCGTTTGTTTACATCACGAATTTGCAGCTTTTGTTTGCATTATCCTTGCGCATGCAACAAAAGTCTTGTTTTTATTCCCCCACCTAAGGTGTGGATCCTGATGGTGCGTCAGAGAAGAGAGGAAGTAGTCAGAATGATGTGGAAGCTGTGTCAGAAGGCATGACAATGAACGAAGGCGACGGCGTCCAAATTGAAGGTGTGGGCACCTCTTCTGGAGGTAAGCAAGCAGATGCCAATCGTGACTCGAACTGATACATGCTTTTAAGCGTATTGTATGGGCACTTTTGGCAGAAGTTGTCAAATGTTTGCAGAACTAGTCGAAAGATAAGTCCTGTTTAGAAAGTAAATAAAAATGCAAAAATTAGAGAGTGGAGCTAAGGAATTCAGAGCACACTGTAGCAAGAATTCGTAGACGGCTTGACTGAGAGCGAATGCAATCAGTGGAAGAATTGTTTAACAATCTTTTGAGAGCGTGACAGGACAGATCCAGTTACAATTGGGGTAAGCTATCAGTCAAGGTAGAAGAGTGAACTCATCCTCGTGCACTATAAAGCGAGAATTGAGAATCGAGTCGAGTGATTGGTCCTAGTTTTTCATAATATTTCTGAAGAAGTTTTTTCACCTCTTTGAGACGCATAAGGTGTGGGCAAGTCTTATCCGTAAGTGCTCGATAGGAAATCCATTGTTGAATGCACGTTGAACAATTGCGTTCATAGCGAACTCTACACATGGCAAGCATCGCCTCCCTTAGAGAAATTGAACTGCAAAATTAACAAATAATTATTCACGGTGAAAAGGAATGGAGTCAGGTCTCGTCTTGTCATCCTAGAAATGTCGTATCAATGGCAACTTGTCATTTTTCCTTGAAAGTGGAGGATTCCATGTTATGGTACATTGAACTTCCGATGATTTATTCACAGAATGAAACCATTCTAATTCAAATTATTTTGCTGCACTTCGCTTTGGTACTCAAAATGCTATCTGAATGCTCTACGTTTCCGACGAAGAGCGTGTGTAGTTCTGGAACCGAGTTCACCTCTCTTTGTAAAGTAGGCAAGCTCAAATCAATCACGATCACCAAGTTATTTAAACCGGAATCCGATGAAATGAGAGTGGGTTCGTAAAAAGAGGATAGTGGTGTGGAACACAATAGACTGATCTTCACTAGTGGTTCATAATGCATGCGGGTCGACGTTGGTACTAAACGAGCTGTTTTACTACCTGGCGCTATTGGAAGCTCAAGTGTTGTGGAAAATTCACAACGGGTTTTTTTATAATGTGAAAAGTTGACGCTCGTGTGGCGACACTACCGATAACGGGGGATCCTGTGGGTGAAATCTCAGTGAGCAATCCTCATCTAGTCTCAAAATCAGACACTTTTGTGATGGAGTCACAAACAGCGTCAGTTAGGCTGTCTAGGGAAGTCCAACAGTAGGCTACTACATCTATCCGATTCACTATGTTATGTGTTAATTGAGATGACTGCCATTCAATGTCGTATACTTTTTACTTGATCAAGAAACTCAAAGTGGTACAGCGACCACAGAACAGGTCAGTAATCAGCTTGAGGAACAAAGGGTGTCACAGCCAGAGGACCAAACCGCTCCTAGAAATGAATCAGCTAAGCATGGATCCCAGGAAGTAATCACATCACTTACCCATGGCAAGTCAAATTAATTGTCATGACATCGCTAATTTCATTCCCATTCTATAAAGTAAATACTTTGAAAGGAGCTGAAGAGACTAAAACGGAAAATATTGAAGAAATGAGGGCTTTGATACATTCATCTACGTTTACAGGCTTTTACGCATAGCTGATTTTTATCTATAGTAAACCACTTTAAATATAATTTCCCATACTTTTCGTTTCTTCTAATTTTTTTTTCGGATTTCACTAATTTGATGTTTTGGAAATGCAGTCAGTGAGAGAAGGAGTTGATGAGCCTAGAGAAATGATAGATAAGGATTCTGGTGGATTTGCTCCCAAGTAGCCAGTTCTACAGGACCCTCTTCCCATTTTCACCCGCTCGAACTTTAAAATGCTGTAGTGATTTCATCTATTTCACTTCAAATCACATTACCCGTAAAAGGAGTTTAACCTAGAATCTAACAGCCTTTTCTTCGTGTATTTGTCAAGTAGTATATCGACCTTCAATCCTGCAGTATGATCCCCGAAGAGAAAATAAGTTCAAGGGTTTTGAAAATTAGAAATTTAGCTGTTTGAAAAGCATCAACTTGATGTTTGCAAACACCCGGAAGGTATTTTTTAATGAACAGGAAAAATCCGAATCCTAAGATTTCGCCTTATTGAAAAATACCTGCTATTCAAAGACTGAGAATTTTGGCGTAAAGTGAAAGGAAGGAGTACCAAATCAAACTGAACCCGTCGAAGACTTCAATGATTCAACTTCTAGAATATCTCTTCCCTCGTCACCCTACCCTAGTTAATATTATTAAATAATTTCGTATTTTATTCAAATCTAAAGAAGCTTTATCGAGACAGCAGATGAAACTTTCCATTGACAATCTGGTGAGGATGTCTTTGGTTTGCTTTAAGAATTGCCAGAAGAACCTCCATGTGAGGAGCATTCGACAGGTTCCGCTGAAGTTTATTCGACACCACCGTCAGAATCAGCAGACGATGAAAGGCGTGAAGGGATCCAGGCTAGTCCAACCACTCATGGTATGCGTAGTTGGAAAGCCACCTTTTCTTGTCTGGCTGGTTAGTTCATGCACTTAGAGTTAGTGTAAAAAGAATACCTAAATTATAGTTATGAGAGTAGATTTTAGTCACTTCTAGAATAATGTGCCAGCATAATGAGACAAAGGCTCCTAGAGTAGTAACAATGAAGCGTCGGAAACATTAAAGGGTTAGGTTTGGTTCTTACGAAAATTCCAAATTTTGCCACTCAGTAGCAAGACGACTTCACGATTCCACGGCCTTTCATTCAAAGTATGCGAAGGATTTACTTTATTGGTCCGGGAGTCTTAAAAACCCCTAAATCTGTTAGGTCGTTTCTTAGCGAATTGGGGCTACTTAGGTGCAGAGGTGGGTAACAGGTGCGACTTGACACCTTTAAAATTGGCTCAGACTCGTGTTTGAATTTGGCTACTCAAAAATCCACTGAATGTGTAATCATAACCACAATAGGTGTTTCTTCTAGACGCAGAGGGCTCTGAAAAGCACAGGGAGGGAGAAAGTTATGAGGCTAAACCAGTGGAGGTGTCAAGTAAAGTGGAAACGAGTTGTGAGTTTAGTCTATTGCATTTTGAGAAGGCTCTTTTTATATTCACCTCGCGTATGCACCAGGTTTGTGAGTTTATTTTAGAGGCTTGATTTACAACTAGGAATGTTGTCGGAGGCAGTCAAAGGCGATATAATTTTTCTTTGTTTGACTCAAGAAGTGAAAAAAGCAATTCTGAATGAGGATCAATTGGCAAGCTCTGTTGTAGATCAGCCAGCACAACAGTTGGGAAGGGCAGTCGATGGGGGAGGTGTTGAAGTCAGGGCGGAACTTGAAAGCCAGAGTAGGCCTTCTGGTGATGGTATATGGAGTTGGATAAAACCTGTTCTTGTCTGGATGAATGGGTCACATCGGCTAGCATGAAGCCTCACAAAGTATCTCCCCTTTCTCCTTTTAACAACACGCCATTTTGGACAGCTCACCAACTAACTTGCAATGAGTGGTGACTGCTGTGTTCCAGCACCCACTTAGTGGACTGACGTATCACTAGTTGCCCCTAAACGGTGCATAACCCACTACTAAACCCTGACTTCAAAGGCATGCACAACTTCACTACCTTTTTTTCCCTTTGGTGATGGATGGCTCATAATGGGAGTCACATAGTCGTGGTCCTGATCTGCCTACTCGATACGAATTAACTTCAGTGGGCAAGATAACTTCATTTTTTTGTGGAGAATCACCTATAACAACGCACGGCCTTGTACCGCTTGACTACCTCGAGGTTTGCACGTTAGGTAGGGTGGAAAGAAGTGAGATACTGCTGCAACCGAATCCTGTGCGCATCTCTGATATGCTTCCAAGTGATTGTCATCGTTACTTGGCACTAGCATTTGACAATCACATGGCCATTTTGGAATAGAATAGATGGGAAATAAAAGCGGGATAGAGGTGAAAGTTACTAGGGCTAAGTGACATGTTTCCATGGGCAGAAAGTCCCCATAAAAGTGGATTTCGCTGGGAAAAGAACTATGAATTAATAAAGCGCTTTCTGGACAGAAATCTGCATTAAAAGTCAGAGATTTGTCCGATCAACTTTTAATTATTAGGGAAACGTGACACTGATGAACGAAGTTGTTCGCGTCATTTCATTTCAGGCAGGTCTAAACTAGCTGAATTACCGTCCCATAGGTGGACCACGCCATATCTATAGCCATCGTTAATTAAAAGTGATGAAGACGTCAGCTACCAACCCACTGTGGCTATAACCCTACTGCTTATTCTTGGAGAAACCTGCTGTATAAACATAAGGTGAAAAACTTTTTGGTTAATTCGGTAGGTCTGCACTTGAATCCGCTGGACCAGTAACCCCTCCGATTCCTCGGACGTCATCCCCCGATACCTCTTTCGTTTGTGGTACAGTGGACTATAAGATGTCCTGCACCACTTTCAATATACAACTAAGAAGACTTGATCCATCATCTCATACATTCCCCAATTGCTTCTTTTTTGTGCATGAGACCGTTAATTCGCACCACTTTATTCACTTATCAAGGAAATTGAAAGACTTAAGACCTAATTTTCCATTTCTCTGGTACAAATTTGCTTTGTTTTGCCCGCCTCGGTAGAGGTGGAATGAGTGAAGCTGAGAGGGGTGCAGGAGACAGGTTAATCATTGGTTTTGCAGTCTTCAGTGACTCAATGAACTGGATCCACGCGCGGGAACCTCATTTAAGTTTTGTGCCATGTCTAAATCGAAAAAGTAGAAGAATTAGTTAATTACTTACATAAATGAGAAATGTAAGTAGTTTAAATTACCTTCTGTCTCATGCTTTGATTGAATAACCATCAAAAGTTGAGGCGTTACACCTTACAAAATCATGTGAGCTCGATCAGAAAATAGGGGAGCTTCTCATCGTGTCTTAGGTATTTTCGAAAGCTCGGGGGCCCATTTTAAAACAAGACAGGGGTCTTTTTTCTTCGGCTACCAAGATCCCTTTTTCAAAACCGCATCTACTTAAGCGATTGAAATCGAACGACCAGTGTAGGTGCCTGAACAAACGATGGGATCTGGTGAGGAAGCCCGTGTTTTAGTCTGATCCACTTATCAAGCGAGTTTACGAAACCGATTCACAATTCACATTCATGAAAAAAAGAATTTTCATAAAACCGCAAGCATCGATTACACATTTTACAGCCTTCAGCTTAAGGCCTTCATAAACTCCCTCTTCTTGGGGACAACGATAACGCTTTGAACAGAAATGTTCCAGCCAATCCAGACAGTGGAAACAAACACACTTGGAAGGTTTTCAGAATTAAGGCACTATACAATTCAATTTTGCACATTTTGCGAACAATTGAAGAGGTTTTGACCAGGACCATAAAAAGAGTAGGAAAGTTTACAATCTTGGGGTTTTAAAGACTAGATGAGAAAACAGCAGAGTTGACAAAGGCATCTTTTTAGGGAAATTCATGCTCTTAACATTTTAAACTGACAAGACAAAAATTTCCTCCTTGAATCGATGACACTGTTTGTTCTAGAGGAGTCTAACGAAAGAAGATCTTGGAGCGTTTCTTCACCCCGATATGACTTGACTTTTAAAACATGGGAATAGCATTTCGATGTAACACAGTCATTCCTTTTGGGCTTAAAAACTAATTTTCATTCTATCTTTCGTCGAAATATGAACCTACATCGTAGATCCGCGAGATGTTTGATCTGTTTGCTTGTTAACTGGAAGACCTTTTCCGTATAGGCTGAAAGAAAAAAGTGAGGCTGACTACCAAGAAATGCTGGTAAATTTATGGTAGAGTGGAAGTTATGTATACGACAACCTACCTTTTGGATCCTCTCTGCACCGTTCCAGAAGTTGTTGGTGGGTGGACACCCATGTTGGCAGTTTCTACAAAAAAGTAATAAGGCAGCCTAAGCATTGCACTAAGCACAACGCACACTATAAGAGGTTCTTAATAATATTTAAAGGGAGCGAAAACACCCTCTTGAAATATTTGATGAAGCGTCGAACAAAATTGGTTGTGTGAATCTAACTAGTATACATAGATCGGATGCACTACTGATTTTAAGGTCACCGGGTTATTATTCCGGATATGGCTCGGTGATACGACTAAGAGATATTTGGCAAAGTAAGGCGTAACTTCGATTCCATTAACCAAGTTTGGCTACTGGAACGAAAAGGTCCATATCAGTCGGCCGTTATGTCAAGGAAATGTGCACATTGGTACTCAAATGGCAAGATAGATAAATGGTGCATCGAATGGATAAGTAAGACAAAGGATAGAGGTAGATAAGAAAGTGGGTAGATAGAGGGATAGATGAATAAAGGGGCAGATGTGCAGAAAGGCAAGCGGGAATGAATTAGTTATCCCCACCTTCAGTAGTTGTTGGTGCCGAGAAACCAGATCAGAGAAGGTTCGTGGAACACAGACTGATGAAGTATTCACTGCATCACCGGCCGCAGTGAGATTAGCCTATAAAGTTGGGAATAAATGCGAAAATCCTTAGTGTTGTTTCCATGAGTAGAGGAATTTGCACATCTGACTGGTGCCTTTTCTGGTCAAGACGAATCCCAATGCAATCGAAAATATCGTAGAAATAGATATTTTACTTGATGTCTATTAAAAATGAGTGAATTTCATGTGAAACCCATGGAAAAAAGTCACAGTTGAACTTAAGTTGATGTAGATTTACATACCTAGCGTTAGTTCAGTTAATCTCCCGTATCCCTCACATAGAGTTCGAAGGAGAGAGGAGCGTTTACGAATAAGCGCCCTATCATAATAGTGAAGATTCAGAAACTACAGAACATCAATTTGCGGTGAGAAGCTTACGAACTATAGGCTACCCATAGTAAAACGGGCCAAATGGGATGTATAGGTATGCGGGCTATATAAGTCACAAATCGTGAGTCATGCAGTGTAAACAGAGGGATCTTCAAGGACGATTTTACGCTTACTTCACAAGAGTCCTCCACAGAGCATGAGCAACAGGAGCAGGCAGACTCGAAGCTCCCCTGGCTACAGCTTCTCCTAACCCCACCGCCAGCCCCACCTCCAACTCCATTTGTGTTAGCATCCACGGAGGGATGGGTTGGGAGAGACAGGAGAGTGGGCGATCTCGCCACTTGTGCAGTATGGGCGGCTACCTTCGGCCAGCACTCAAACGGTGGCATACGCTTCACCAACTGGGCGTAGCGCAGAGTGTTGAGTGAGTGTTCAGCACAACTCAGTCCCGGCGCCACCGTGGCGATCATGCAGGTGCGCGCCCGCCGTCCCACAAAGGACTCGCGCAACACCTGTGTCAGTTTGCTATTGCGGAAGGGTAGGCGAGTGGCACCGGCCCCGCCTCCACCTACGCCAAGCTGATGGTGGTGGTTGCGAGAATGAAGATGACGAGGGGGACGAGAACGACGAGGAAGGCGACACATCGCGCGAATACACTCCTTGAGAGCCAGGAGGCTCTTGTTGATCTCCCCACTTTCGATGCGACGCCTCTTAGCGATACTGGAACTGGTCCCGGCGCCAGCAATGGGGAGGTCGGAGCCGCGTTCGTTGCCAGCTAGGTCGACCAAGGAGAAACGACCAATCAGAGAGGCTCCAGAACGCAGACTTATCTGAAAAAGTGTCAGAGGTAGTCAAAGTGTTTAGGCCTTCGTTTTTATTTGGATACAATATTAATAACTGGGACGGTATTTACAGGATTACAGATTTAAAGATCCACTTTCTTATAATGCACCTTTATAAGTAGCAATGTGCAGCTTTTGGTGTGTGAAAATGCTGTTTTGAGGACTCTCTGAGGACAAAACACCAATGCAGCCGTTTTTAAAGCAGAAATTTGCACAATCAAAACGGCATTTTAGAGGCATTTATGCATTTACTTAAAGCTATTTTCAACATGAAAAGCTTTCCAGGAACTTGCTCTGAATCCAGACACACTCCGAATCTCAGAAATTGTTGGGTACAGGAGTTGGCGGTTCGAAAACATTTCTAACAGCGGCAATTGGTGTCAAGCACACATGTCTGGGCAAATAGCTTCCTGGTAGAAGTGACTACTTAGATTCCTAAAATGGGTCCAGTATAATGCAGGATGTGGGCAAGCGGAAGTGACTACCTACCTGAAAGATGGCATGTGATCGACTGGAGGTGAGGTTTAGAGCAGTTTGACCACTGGTTCGAAGTCGGCAAGAGCGTTTCAGTAGAGTTAACGTCTCCTCCGAGGTGTCCACGCCGATCTCGCTGAGACCAAGCAGTCGTACTGCCCCACTTGCGTCCTCCAGAACTCGCACCACACTTCGACGGTTTAGGAGATCGTAGACCTAGACATTAGACAATATTTCTCGGATAATTATCCGTTACAGAACTGGAACTATCAGCACTGCGAGTAATAAGTATGTAGTGGTGACTTAAGAAGAGGAAGAATACCTTTTCTGATTAAGGAATTGAGTCATTCCTGATGTTAAGTGCACAATCCATGTAGACGCAAGCATTTCAGCTCTACGCGGGTAGGAATTATAGAGTGGTAGCATACAAAGGCCTTCATTTGGCTCACATCACTTTAAAAAGCGTCAAACAGAGATGTGGAATGAAAATGCAGGCGGGTCCATGCAGAAGACTTCAAAAGGTACATTGAAAATGTTCAAAACGTATGTCCGCAGCTATACATTGAGGTGAAGAAATGACAAATATTTGCAATAATACTTTTCAAAGATCTGTACTCGGCTTCCCAATTTTAGCTGGCACTGGTGTTAATGGCAATAGCAGTTCATTGACTCGGGATTAGGAATCCACAAGACCAATGGGAAGGAAAAGACACCTTGCAACAAGAAGCTTCCTCCGTTATTTCATTAATTGGGCGTGAGGTTAACAAATCATGAATTGGAGGTGGTGACTTCCAAAGTCACTTAAGCATCCCATTCACTAAAAATGCGACCACCTAATGTGAACTATAACCAGGGTGAGGATTAGTAGTAATGGAGCCAGTATTGAAGCTGATTTATGTGAACGAGGCATCTGTGGTGGTAATTAGTGAAGGAAATAGAAACTAGATCGTTTAATGGGGACTCGAGCAGTTATTGAAGTTACACCAGATGCAACTCGTCATATTTCAAGGGATCTCAGGTCATCATATCCAAGGTTTAATAAAAACAGCTTATACTGAATTGGATGCTTAGCTAGAAGGTGTGAAATTCGATACTGTGCCTGCAAATTCGAGTGAATACAGACGGACAAATGCAGGAAGTCTGTGACAAACGGTCAAGAATACAACCGTTTTGGCATGAATAAGTCCGTACGCAAAATCAAATTTAAACAAATACATAACGAATATAGTAAATTGGTGTAATAGTTAAAATTATCAAGCGTATGGCACCAAAGGCATACATTTCAGGCTGAAATAAACCAAACAATGGGACAAATTCCAATGAACTTTCAACCTAACAATGGATAGTGAAAGAATTTTAGAAGAAACATGTAGTTAACTCACACGGTTACAGTAAATCTCGAAAAACGCCACTGTGACAGAGCACTTTGCGTACTCATCGCCACTTCCCAGCAGTTCGAAGATATCATTCACTTAAGTTAGAGAAGGGAACCTCATTCATTCAAATAGAAAATGCTAAATAACTACTTAAGTTAACGGTTACGAGGATGCTTTTTTAGTTAATTTCCCACATGGCACTTAGCTGCAAATTACAGATCCAAACCCACCAACCATTCCGTAGAGACCTTTTTCAAGTAGCCGATAAGTGTTGTCTGCTTCAACTGGACCACTCATTGTGAAGGTCTTTCCGGAGCCAGTTTGGCCATAGGCAAAACAAGTTGCCATAGATCCTTGGAAAATTGATCGGACCAAAGGAGCAGCTGTCTTCTGATATATCTGCACATGGTCAAGCATTTTCGCTGATAAGCCGATCGGCCAAACGAAGCCTCACATTTTCCCAAAGTAGTGAATAGATTGCGACATTTAATTTAGTAAGTGCTAGCCAACATTTATGGACGTTTACTTGCCTCACTTGTGGAAACTGTCTCGTCGAAAGTGTGATCCAAACGAAATGTATGAGACTCAACGAATTCGCTTAGATCTACGAGATAGTGAGGCTCGTTAACAGTCACATGACCTGGTTGGGATATCTCAATGACATCTGGGTCACTCTGAGATATCTCTAAAAAAAATTCGGGCTTTAATAAACACTATATTTTCATTGATAAAGCAAAATATCTATCAATTACCCTTAATGCTCAGAGGCCGCTTCCGGACACAAACTTGTATCTTGGGTACACTGCAGCCTCTCCCCCTTAGGAAAGCAAAATTGCATGCAGGACTGTCCTGAGGACAAAGCGTTATATTGAAACTTTCCTTTGAGGATTCGCTGTGGGAATTTTCCTCCTCTTCCGTATCACCATTTTTATAATTCAAGTAAAGCTTCCCATCCTATTACAGTGGGAATGAGCCACCAGAACAACTTTACATTGTATACCAAGAATTCATTGAAATGTAGTAACGCTGGAATTGAAAGCTAATAATAAGCTTAAAACAGATGCCTACCAGTTTACTTAGACCTTTGCCACATTCTTTCCAAGTAACCAAAGCAGAGCACTTATCTGCGCAATAGTCCTTTAGAAATGCACTCTGACACGAACCTAGCCGAATACACTTGTTGACGTCATATCGTTACCATCAGAACGCAAAACCTTAACGATCAGTGGTCTGGAGCAATCTACCAGACGCATAGTTTTAACTGGCGGGCGTGTCGAATCCCACGGCTTCGAAGCAAACAAACAAAGCACCAAGTTGTCGGTCAGCCGCCTGCCTCAGTCCTATGACTCAAAATCACACTGAGACGCACCGAGCTCGAGACTTCAAAGGCAAAACCGACTGCTATCCCCCACCCGGGCACCAAGAAGGAATGAAATTAATGCCATCCACTACCCACAGGAACAAATGCTCCACACCTAGACGTCCCCACGACTGCAAAAGCGACGCCAACGACCCCACCCCGCTCCACAAAGTCCAACATGCCAGCTGAAGCACCCCACCCCTCCGGCAGCCCAAAACCCTCGCCGTAGGCACAAAAAGAAATAGTGGGTGGTAAAAACCTCTTTTCCAATGAAGCAAGACACGCAACCATGCACATGGATCCCGCCCACCTACAAAAAAGAGCACAGCCATCAACACAATACAATAAAATCAGGCTCATTAAATCAGCTGCCAACAGGTGTATGGACTATTATTGTCATCACCAACACTAACCCGAGCCAACGGCGACAAAGCAGTACGAAGGAAACTAGGAGCAAAAAAGTTAACATGAACACAAATCAGCTAGACAGTGTTATCACAGACATCAACGGATTGACAGATAAACATCACATCATTCGTAATGACTCACCTGCCCCCTCAACCTAAAAAATAACACAAAGAAGCGTTATCAGACGTTCGTCATTGAATCAGGGTTGAGTAACACATGGTGGGTTCTAAACCATGCTTGCCAAAAAAAGCTGTCACTACAACTATTAAAAGACGAAAAGTTCATCAACAACACACCTATACACGGGATAAAACCGGCGTCACAAACGACAAACACACGCGAGGCCAACTGAGCAGGAATGCCAGTGCGTGATGCAGACTTAAACAAAATACAAATTTTTCAGACGCAATGCGATACATGTGATTTAGTAACTGGACTTGTGGCAACAAATTTAGCGAAATTATGCCTATTTAGCAAACAAAAAGAATTACATTATGATCTTGGTGCAACTAATCTTTATACATTTTTCGCAGGTAGTTACATTCCTTCTGTAATCGTGGAATTGCCAGTTATATTACGTACAAATTGCTGTTGCATTGGGTCACAGACCACCGTTAGTTTTGACAGCCTTGAAGTTGAGGATTTTCTTCATCGTTTATGTCTTCCTCTGCTTGGCAGTATATCCAACGCGAAAAATCGCTAGACAGTTTGAGTATCATTCTCCGAATATGCAATGACTCATCACAAAATGAAACTTACCTCCTAGCAGTGAAACCGCTACAGCCATCGTGAATGCGATAAGCGCAAGTTAGGCTCAAGTCAGCCCCCAAATACGCAGGGTGAACATAAACTTTCGGCACAACCTGCTATCTACTGGGGGCCACCCACCAGAGCCGCTGTCAGGCAACCCCTCGCCCCCAAGCAAACCATTATCACACCCATTCCCACCATCGGGAATAGCAGGTAAAACCAGAACCCCACACTCGGCGAAGTGACACATTGCAACAACCCACATAGCCTAGCCCCACCACTTGAACATTGAAAATGACCAAGATAGCCACTTCGCATGAGACAATACAAGACTGCAAAAGTAAACGTGCACCAAGCGTCACGACATCCTCCCGCACAGAAGCAAAGCGAGTTGCCGACAAAACCTCACGCCTTGTAAGCCCCGAGATGCGTGTCAAGCGCCGCTGTTGCAGGAACGTAGTCAGACTATGTAGGAGTGGAGCTACGCTTCATGGGCCAAAAGCTCCCATATGATTTGAACACCTTCCATAAACTGGCTAACTACAAGCACAAATAGCAAGCATAACACCTACAGAAGTGTACACACAAAACCACATCTAAAAAGATTAAGTACGAAATACACATCACGATACACAATAAAGGAATTTTCAATGTACATGTCACCAAAAGACCGTCCTTTCAAGAAGGTCAGAGAGCCATCCGCCAAACCCACGGCTAGTGCCGCTAGCGTCGTTAGCAATGACATTTCGACACTGCGGTACGCCGCGATCCGGGTCCACCTCAAAGATGTCTGCGCCGTCCATCAGGTAGGGCTTCATCGGCTGTGGCTTCTGCCGCGTTTTTAGCTGCCCTAGTGGTGGCATTGTACTTGAGATAGAGGCGCAGCTACTACGTACAGTGTTACGACGTTGGATCGCGACTTGAGAACAACTAGAAATAGAAGGATGAAGGAAGAAGAAGCAATGAACCGATTTTCAAAATCAGAACTCTGTAAAGGAATACCTAGAGTAAAAGTAAACAAGAACAAAACGCAAGTACTTAAATCTGAAAACCAGAGAGGAACCAGGACAGACTTACAGCATGGGTGGAACCATCAAGACAGTAGCCTAGTGAGTAAACCCTGCTAGGCGCGCATTAAATGCTAATGCGAGAAGTAGGCGTCATAGGTATTTGGATTAGGAAAAGTTCGAAAATGTTGCCGCATTAGAACACTAAGTAAACCTATGAATAATAAAAAATAACACAGTGGTAAAAATGAAACAACCGCGAAAAAGCAGATCAAGGGACGCAAAACTTCCGATTTCGATAAGGAAAAGAAAAGTGTTGCATTTGTACACGCAGTGAAGTGGTGAACTTCAACACTGACACCCATACATGATCAGAATTGCATTGGAACACTGTACAACAGCGAATGGGAGCAATAGCAATCACAGCACCAGCAGACGCGTAGTTAATGCAGAAGGGTAAGAGTTTAAAAAAAGTATCTGTATGTAAAAAAGCTGGGAGAGTGGGACAGAAAAGCAACAGCACTACTCAAGTCATTAAAAGATCGGAAACAAATCAAATGCTAGTAGTACTTGGTATTAACAGACAAAGAACAACATTAGATGATAGGCCAATGTAAGGCATTAAGGGTTATAGAAAGCAGAGGAGGGAGACAATGATTGCGAATCTGAGGTAAAACCATGGATCGAAAAAGATACCACGAGAGAACTTCAGTAACAGAATACGATCAGTGATATACCGCAGGAGCAACAACGGAAGGAAATTGCTTCTCAGAATGGAAACTAAAAGCAAGTTGAACTAGGCGAAAAATTAGTAGGGTAAAAATGAAAGCCACATAACTAACTGTACACTCAAATTACAAATTACACGACAGAAATGATTCCAAAAGCAACATAGATATTGAAAAAATAAGACGATTCAGATAAGAAAAAAAATGCAAAATATAAATGACGACACGACAGTCGGATGGGTGTACAAGCCTTAAAATAACGCATTACGGCTTGCTAAGACTCAATGAGATCTATTTAAAAAAAACCTGCGACAGGCAAAAAACGTCGCGTTTGAGAACAAGAAAAGAAGGAACTTGCGTCGACTTCCGCCTTCGGATAAAGCAGGCAGGTATATCAGTCAGACCACTTTCCGAAGCCAACTGTTGGCAAGCGACGCTAACCTTGTCGAGAATTTGTTCCGGCTCAATAGTATCCACAGTCATCACGATGACACGACACTTATTCAGTTGGAAAGTTATGCTAATCACTCCTTTAATGGTGAGTAGTTGAGACTCTATCACCTTTAGACCGAACTATAAAAAGAGAAGTAGAAATACAATTGTTGAATGCAAATTTTTAGGATGCAACAAAACCACACCATATTTATTTTTCCGGATAACTGAACAACAACGGAATGAAATTTGCGCTGACATTTCAAACGAGATACTTTTGTGCCTGACCTAAAAAGGTTAAATAATCACTTCAAAACACCTCTTCAAGCAGTGCTTCGTAGAGTAAAGGTCCTCGTAAAGACTATGAGCAAGTCCCATCACTTCTGGTGGGATGTTCTCATCCTCTTCCTGAAGCCTTAGAAGTTGGTCGCGCAATCCATGCAACCTCGAAATATAGATTAACCCATTTTCGCGCTTTGATAAAGCAATAAATGTCTGCAGAATGATGGGTAACTTGTCAGTTACCTCAAGAATACCCAGGACTACCGACGGACATTCGTTTGAGAGCAAAATCACAAGACCGCTCAATGAAGTTGCATCCTAGATTGCAATAAACCTATTAAAACATACTGTAATCAATGATTGGCAACGCAAATCGTCCAAAGCGATTGCCTTGAACGACCCGACCAGATCCTGCATCTATCAAACGCGAAACGACGTACGATGCACTACATGAGTGGCTTACACAAACAAAAGCAGTAAATTATTGATTCCAGAAGCTTTGCAGTCAAAATGCATTGTCAAAGACTCAAAGGGCAAGTTAGATTCCTAAAAGGCAGAAGAATATTATTACGCTTACTATTTTGGCACCCTAACAGTCTTAAGTCTATATGAAAATATCCTATCACAAAAAAGTTCATTGTGCATTACGACTTGCCTCATTGTAATGGAAAATAACCACTGGCTTGGGTTTTTGCTCAAAATTGAGTAAATTAGACCAGAATATGTGTAATATTCATTTACCAAGCAACAAACACTGCAAAAGCATTCTGGTAATCAGTTAGGCTACCAAGTATTCTTACAGACAATTACGAAAATCTTTTATAGTCTGCTCACAAAAAAATGCAGGTGTCGGCCAACAGAAAATTATGTTGGTCTGTGTTTAAGTAGTTGTCGCATGATTGGACTGGTATGAGTTTTTTCAAATTATATATGACCAGACCTTTAAGTCGGGCCAAAGCTGTTGGCTGCACCTGTAAACCCTGTTGCGCTCTTCCCTTGATCTACCTTAAATGGCGTTTCGCCTTTTACCTAGGATACCTAAACTAGGTCTCAAACCTGGACAATTCTGTACCCGTATTAGTCGAACATTGGCGTCGCGACTAGCTTTATTTGTACCTCCACGGTCGTTCTCCACAAACGATCCTGATTCATTAAAGCCTGCAACAGTTTGTCTCTTTCATAAATGAACCCTATTGCTTTATAGCAGCGGAAGGATATTTTCGATGGATTTATACCTTTAAGTACGTTCTGTCTTTCTGTTCACTTTCCAAGATGAGATTCAAATATCATACTCTTCCGCCAGTGGACCTGGAGGTCAACATGTTAACAAAAGTAATTAAGCATTTCTAACTCCTTTGTACTTCTCAAAGACCACACTAAAGTCCAAATAAAGTTTCACATTGCCTCTGCAACATGGATTCCCGAACACTTAAAGCCCTATCTTCTCGAAAAGGTACGTTATATATCACCAGATTCACAAGTCCGTAGGAGTCGCACCGTATAACGAAGGACGGTCATTTCATTATTCAGTCAGATAGAACTCGATATCAGCTTCTTAATCAAGCTGATTGCCTTGAACGCATTCGGCGAATGATAAGAGAGCGGTTATCTGAAATGAACAAGCCCGAGGTGTCCGCAGAGACCCTGGAAAAGCATCGGCAGTGGTAAGCGGCAAACATCGTATTTCTCTCCTTTGCTTACTATGCTGCTTCGCAGTTGCCTTCTGAGCGTTGTCAATAGGTGTCATATGTGGTGTTTGTTCAGCCTTGTACTTAGTCATTTGTACCCCTGTATAGTTAAGAAGTTACTTAAGACAACGCACTATTTGGTTACCCTCTTACACTTTGCAACTTCAGCCGTATTCGAGAAAATGAAAAGCGCTTGGCCGTCAAACGCACCGACTCCATGACTAAGGCCTATCGACGAAGGCCGTCTCAGTGGGATTTATAGTAGCTTCTTTGCCACTTCTTCTTCATCCCCCTTCTGTACATTCGTAGTCCCAACCTCAAATAAATGGCGGATTTCTTACAATCCCGCTTTCTCATTGCTGAGTTACCTTGATTCACCTTTTCTTCCTTGGTGTTCGGCTGTTTTTTTCTTACTGGCTAATGATGTGGCATTAGTTTATCTGTTGAAATCCCCAAGCCTTTTTTTCACAGCAAAGCTTTCTTACACTTCATGTGGAGTCTCCTGCCTGCTCTTCAATACCTATCCGAGGGTCTTTTTTCAAAGCTCTTTCAGAAATTTTGCTTTGGAAAATACGTAGCTTTCGATGCTATACTCTTGTTGTATTCATTCACGTTTTTTTGGTAGTAAATCAAGCTTGAGTCCACCTCTAACTACCGCTCAGGAGTTCCGACTGCCACGTGGCAATTATCTGAATTGGTATTTTAGCGAGCTCTGACACTCGATAATGCCATTATGACAGTCGAGTTGTCGATGGTGAGGCAACACTTGAATCGCGGTTGGACTATGCTTTGCGCTTGCTCTCACGCGGTAGATGTCCACTGCTTTTGTCAGCTTAGTCAAGTTTACCTGAATGAATTCAGTGGGTTTCATTCTAATATCAGATGTCTGATCAAGAACCGACGCCATCGCCGAAGAAGGAAGACCTTTCCTCCGCGCGCCTAGGTAGCGTAGCCGTGGAGTGCAACAAGCTCAAGGACGAGTACGAACAGTGCTTCTTCGACTTCTTTCCCCGCTTCCTCTGCGGTGAAAAGTTCAAGGAGGACCCGTGCGCTTCTCAGTTGGAGGCCTATCGTCAGTGCCTGCGTCGCCACCTGAGTCGACATATGGGCGTGGATTTAGACAAACTCGATGCCCAGCACATGTCCGCTGCCGAGATGGCCGAAGCTATGGCTCAAGGGAGGAGTCGAAAGTCGTAGAGGTGATTAGTCGTTCCCATCCTGTACAGAATATTCGTGAGAATCTTCCATGCATACTAACATACACACACAACGGATACCCTGCGCCTGTTACTATGTGGTCTTTCTAATTGTGTGCACTTGCTGATCCCTTTTGACCAAGGGAATGTCCAGATCTGCTTTCTTGCGAATTGAGGCGTTACCAGGAGTCGTTGTCTTCTGTTCAATGAAAATGGGTTTTTTATAGCTCTTCAAGGCCGATCTGCCTATAATTCCTCTCATCCCTTGGCATCAAATAGTGTGAGATGTGTACCAACTTCGTTACCAAAGCATTCCAAAGCGCTTCACGTAATCTCCTATGGCCTTCGTGGACTTTGGTATGTGCAAACAGCAGGAATAGAAGTCGAAGAAAAGCCATCCGGCTCCTGGATTACGAGCTCAGAGGATATTTCATGTACTGATCCCGAGGTCTACGAGCTCCCCACTCGTCATTCCAGACTAGCGCTGTGTAAACTCAATTTCCTTCGTGACCGACTAAACTTCAATTAACGGTAGCCCGCTGCTAGTGCAAATGACATTCATCTGGAGTACATGTTGCAGGAGAGTAATATTTGTAATAAGTTCAGGTAAGAACATACACAAGGATGGACAGACGCATGCAGAGATATTACAAAGCGAGAGGGGTCAGACAAAGTGCAAAACGCTAGGACCAAAGAGGATAGTAAAAAAACAGAAAACAACCATCCTTTCCTCAAGCCTCATCCTCCTCCTCATCTTCCATAACCTCATCATCTTCACCTTCCACCTCACCACCAATTTCACTCTCGCCCTCTCCTGCTGTCTCATCAACACTATGCCCCCCATCCTCGTCCCGTTCCATGGGTCGTGACAAATGCTGCTGTGAATCAACTGGAATAGACATCTCTTCCTTTTTATTTCCTTCCACTTCTTCCGTCAGCATAGAAGGTGGTGGCAGTGCATCAGAAGGCATCTCATCCTCAATTGACGCCTTTATCCCCGTCTTCATCGTGATATCAGGCATTCCGGGCTGTGGAACCGGTGGGGCAGCCATAAGTGATGACTGCTGTTGCTGTAACTGTGGCTGCTGTTCCATCGACATTGGCGGAACCACTGAGGGCTCTAGTTTTAGTGGACCAACAACAACCATGCCGGGAGTCATCTCTGGTTGCCTCGTCTGCGCCATCGGAGCTGGACGCAGCTGTGGTGGAGCAGCTTGAATGAAGGGGGACGAAATTGTTGTTGTTGCGGAGGGAGCTGTACTTGTTGTGGTCGAATCTGTTGAAGCGAGATATTCGGTGGTGGGGGCTGCGCTGCCACTTGAGACGGTATTGGTGCCGTCTGCTGAACTACAACCTGTTGTTGTTGCTGCTGTTGAACAATTGCACGAGCCTGACTCTCCATGGTCTTAATCACCTCCATGTGGAAGGCCTGTCGGTCATGCATTAGCTGTTGACGAGCCTGCTCCAACATCTCGTGCTCCCGTTCAAGAATAGCCTCTAGTTCCTTCAAAAAATAATACAAAATAGACCAGTTATGTTAAACGGACTTTCAAAAGCGTATATACGAGACTAACTTGGAATTGTTTGAGCTTAATATCCAATTTCTTGAGCTGCGTTTCCACGAGTTGTGCGACTAGGCCCTTGATGCGTTTCTCCTCCACACTGGCTAGGTGTCGTGCCTTCGTTGCGGCTGCAGCTAGCGCACATGCTGCCGCAGTCCCCAGGCTATCAAGATTCGGTGGAAGGCTGTTTGTCGATGCCGTACCCGACTTCTTTTTGGCTCCGACCTCACTTCCACCACCATCCTCTGCTGCGCCCTTCACTGGTGCCACTTCATCTGCCTCCATCGTTGTCTGCTCAGATTTCCCCCCTTCCTCCGTTTCTGCCTCCTTTACCTCCTGTCCCGCCTCTCCCTCACTCCTGCTGCTTCCCTTCTGAATAATTGTGCTTTCATTCATCTCCTCCAGCGGTTTTTCTGCCGACTCTGAGGTTTCTTCTTTCGGCTGTTGCTGTTCTTCCTCTCCTTCTCCAGTAGCCCTCCTTTTGCTATCCTCCGACTTGACGATGCCAAGCTCATCGAGACCAAACTTGTTGGGATCCACCTCACGGCCCATGCGCACGGCGGCCTGAACGCGAGCTTTGTGCTCGTGCAGCAGACCCGCAGGAACCTCTTCCCGCATCTGAGCGTACTCCTTCAACGCCGCTGAAGCTGCGCTGGCAGCGACGCGTGGATCAACCACGGCAGCGAGGAATGCTACTGTGGAGAGAATGGGATTTCCCGCTTTGGAAAATGGGGGTTGGGGGTGGGCAGCGTCTGCCAGCGCAGAGCAGCAGATACTACCGAAATCACCCTCCAGATAGGCGTCTTCTATGGGCAGGCGAAGGAAGTGGAGAATGCACTCGTCTTGTGTGCGACTGCCTACGTGTTCCGCCACCTTGTTCCAATCGTCGCGGTACATTTCAAGAGCTTCAAGAAGAAGCAGAGTCTCCTGGTCCGTCCAACCGTCTTTCGTTGCACCCTTGGTGAGAATTTGATTGGTCACTATGGTAGCCGCGACTCCACCTGCCTCGCTATTGCCCGACAAATATTGATCGCTACGGAGGAGGGGATCACCGGTTGATGGTGGAGGACCACCACCTACAACCGACCCTACAGGCAACGCCTGTCCTGGCTGCACTGTGGAAGGCCGGCCCTCCAAATCGAGCTCAGGCTGTTAGGAAAAGCAAACATTTCATAACTGAGTGGCACCGTTAAAACGGGTTTTTAATAACGTGAATGCTAACTGTCAACAATTGTAAAAGTGTAAAAAGTTTATTACTAGGATTCAAGAGAAAAAGTAGATCACCACAGCTCCGATGTTCGATTATAATTACACCATTAAACTGATCTTATTTAACTGCTGCTTCCAAGATCCAAGAAGGTAATTATCTTTGGACCAATAATATCCTACAGGAATTGGTGCAGCCAATTACCATAACCCGACAAAGAAGCACGTCATATCTGTTACACCGGCCCAAAACAAGAGGGTCGAAACGTTACAGACATGTGACAATGGAAGCGATCGTCAAACTCTCTCAAAAACTTTGCGGAATAGACAGCTGTTTGGTATAATCAATGAACCAAAAGACTACTCCGAAAAAAGGCATTGATTTAGAACCTGAGCTAAACATTTGAGGAGGCAGCTAAAGGAAGTACCTTAGAGAAGATCATAGGTAACTTTCCAAGCCACCTTGCACGGAATCATAAAAACAGTAAACCTACCTTAACGCCAATTTTGGTCTCACTGTCAGTCCCCTCAGTCTTTCCCAATTCACCGACCTGTTCCTTGGACTGTTTCGCCGCTTCTTCAGCAAGGGTTGCCATAGCGGCTTGGTTCTGGCTTCCTAGAGGCTGCAAACCGCTGGCACTATCGGTGAGAACATTAAAGTGGGCGGTAGATGGCGGACCGAGGCTTGCAGCAACGGCAAGGCGGGCGGCCTCAGAAGGCATTTGCGAAGCGCCGCCGGATGGTAATAGTGGAGCAGCAACCTGGTAATTGATCAAACCCCATTGTTCGAGGAAAGCGTGCACGCGCAGCACGCTGCACACATCGCCTGTGAGGTTACGTCGACACGCAGTAAAGGTGAGATACTCTTGGGGGTTGAGACGGTATGTGTCGATCATGAAGTTGCGGTATGCCAAGTAGGTCTCGGGAGTCTTGCTCTTGTTTTTTCCGTTGAAGAACTCGGGTAGAGACCGACGTTCAATGGCGTGAATAGCGTTGTAGTCGAACCAGGCGGAGTAGGAGGGCACCACGATGCAATGCGCCTGCTCGATCACGCTCAAGTCGCCAGCTCCCGCCTGATCACCGGCGCCACCGCCGACGACGTCGGTAGCTCCAGTGGCCTCGCTGGTGTGGTCTGAATTTATGTGGTGGTCACCAGCAGCTATAAGAGTAGGAAATTAAATGAGGTGAGCATGTACAACTTTCTGTTAAGTGCCGGCAAAAAAACCGGCGTATTCAGCAAAGTGCAAAGTGAATTAGGGGCTTTGTGACTAAGGATAGCAAAGGTCAAAGGTGAATTGTCTGTAACGGGTAGCGAAGAAAAAGGCAAATAGATCAAGGACCAGAATGAATAAAAGGCAGGAAATACACTTATCCCAATAAGTTTTTCCACAAAGTTTAGCAAATCCTAGCACGAAATGAGACGGTGCAATATATAACAGATAAAGAACAATTTGATGCCAATTATACAAAAAGTGGATAGACGAAATCACCAGGAGAGCTACTGCTAAAAATTTCCACAAACGCATTAGTCTAAAACGCTTGAGGTCCTCTTGCTACATTTAAAAGCTTACTTCTAATTTAGAGAAATTGTTTTCATGAAATCGTGTATAGTTACCCGTGAGATTATATGGTCTAGTGGCAGCAACTTATTCTCACCAGATGTGACGCACAACAAGGATAGAAGTCGGACTCCGTCGGTAATTAAAGCACGGAATCGCGTTTATTCTATTCACTGAGTTTATAGATAAGGAAAAATCACATAGGCAGCAGGAAAGCCTATGTCCTGGTGAGCAGGTAATCTTACAGAGAAGCAGTAGTACTGAGTATCGGCAAAGCGAGTCCTGCTGAATAGCTCAAACATGGAGGCCATAGCAACTCATTGAGGACAGATCAGTAAATGACAACAATGATTTAAATAGTAGCAAAACTGAAGAAGAGGATGAATTAAAAACAAAATGGAGAATGATCGTTGCTTGCAAATTTCTTCATGTTTGAGGCATCATAGAACGATCATAATACACGTGCGAGTTGGTTACAGAAAAGAAACTCAAACATCTATCAATATTTCCCATGGGTTTCGGATAAGCTACAAGAATACCACTTCTCATGCCGCCGCGTAAATGGAGACTGTGGGGTTTTGACTGGACCTAAAACCCACAAACATTTGTAGGAATAAGAAAACAAAATTTCCAAAGTAACTCATAAAACAGAATACAGAAGCGATTTTCGAAAAGGAAGAAATGCAAAAGCAGGTGTGTTTTACAAAGTCGAGAAAAAAAATGTTAAACGAATTATTAGAGCAATAAAAACGTAATAGGACCCGGACAACACTTGCTATATTGCAGAAAATGAACGTCTTAAACGCATTCATTTATTCAGGGATTAAAAAACAACAGGGATAACAGGTGACGCGCCGTCGAGTGGATTTAATGAGTTTCACAGAGCAGTCTTTAAAAGACTATTATTAATCAAGGTCCATTAGTGAAAACATTATAGCATGAAGGCATACCACAACTTGGCCTGTTTCATCAGTGCACGCGAACAGATTTAGAGCAAAAGAAGAACAACCAGCACCCCCAATATACTTACATAGATCAGCCGTAGCAAGAGAGGTGCGCGAATTTCTCGATGTCATGCTAACTGGAGTGCCAGGAGCCACTTGAGTCACCTTGTTTGGCGGCTCCGGATCGTCCAAAGAGCGTGTCAAGTCGCCCGTGTCATTGGTGTTCTCATCTTTCTGATCCTCAGGTGTAAGTTCCATGTAGTCCTGTCAACAAAAGGAAAATGGAAAACGAGTCGAATAAATTGAGCAACGCCCAAAAGCGTAGCTTTCAAAATCACTCACTTCCTTTTTCATCTTCCTGGCGGAGGAAACAAGCTTGGAAGAAGAGCCTGAGGGAACAATGGAACCATGCCGGCGCTTTTTGCTACCAACACCGCCACCACTACCACCATAGGACTCACTCGAAGGGGAGGGAGACCGTTTTCGCTTTTTCTTGTAGCTGGATTCAGAAGGCGTTGGCGGGGCGACAGAAGGAGCCGCAACTATGTGTGGAGAAGCAGAAAGGGAGGAGGCAGAGAAGGAGCTGGTCCAGGTGGAAGCAGGAGTTTGCGCTTGTTGAGCATTTGCTGCTTCCAAAAATTCTTCATCTATCAAAGGATTGGTAGTGAGAAAAAAGTAACCCAAGCTCAAAAGGTTAAATAGTTTGTAACAAAGAAACCATACAAGAAAACGATTTGCGAGGGCGTACGGAACCACCTGGGTGAAGGAAATCCTCCTCCAACATCCACTCACGATGATCAGCAGAGTAAAGAAGCCACCTTGCATCGACGTTCCAAGGCGTACCTCCGGGCACTCTGGGTTCAGGTTCGATGTTTAGTGGCCACTCAACAGGAAGATCTGCAAGGGCCAGAATTATTTCCGGCAAAAGACTGGAGTATATCAAGCTAAGAGGAAAAAAGCTAAGACTAACTTGTGTGCCAGCTATCAAAAGAACCCGGAGAGAAAAGCCAATGTAAGAGGAGACCACGACCCTCCTTAAAGATGGGACGAAACCGTTGACAAACGGAATCATCACGACTATCGCCGGGCCAATTGTCGGGAGGGGGATGAATGCAATGGGTTGATTCCTCAGGGGATTTGGCGATAGTAGCGCCCAAAAACATAGCGCCCTCTCGCAATCGACCGAGAAGCGGCTGTACGAGCACAAAAAGAGAGCCAAATTACACAAAATCAAGATATCAGAATTAATAAACTATTCAAATGCACCTCATTAATGTTAGCAAAATAGACACAAGGATTCGACCACAAGTGCTGATGAGCCAGTTCTCGTTTTATATTGTCAAACATTTCCATAAACTTATCAAGCCTTGGAGAACTAAAATCCAACTTTCTCCAGCCTTGATCGTGACGATATCTCAAACAGATAAGAAATATGTAGCACAAAGAACCACCAGGTTTGAAGTCGACAAATAATCTTGATGGAAGTTTTGGAGAGGAGGCCTTAGAGAGAAATAAGAAAAATATACTACAGCCTACATTCCTTCCAAAGTGTTGTTCCTGAAACATCAACAGATTGTAACAGAGACCGGCAAGGCTTTTGTTGGTCGGTGGTTCAGCCTGGGTATATTTTTTGTGATTCCTTGTGAGCCAAGTCCTCACTGGATCAAAATTTGCTATAATTTCGGGGTTTTCATAAAACCTTGAAGCTATCCCACAATCATTCGGACGAGGCAAACCCATCTCATGGGATATTTGTACGGAAGGAACCAAACGAGCGGAGTAATGGAAGACCAATTTAAACAAACTTGTGATCACAATGCGTTATACTAATAACCCTTTAAAAGCAAAACAATATATTTGTTTTACAAAGGTATACTAAAAAAAGGCATTAAGTGACCTATTAAACCATTGCGAGATGAGTTTTTAGAAATATATGCGAATGGAGCAGAATCCATTTCTTTCATTGATATTTTCACAATAATGTGTAGCGTCCCGAGATTCCCCTGTTGACGGAAGAAGACATAATACTCGGGCATAATGTGTATTCAGCACAGATGTGTTTGGGCTACTGGCATGGCCCATAGGCCAGCCCAGGTACTAGAAGGCAAATTTAAAAGTTCAAAAGTGGCGCTTTACCAATAGCGAGGACGAAGCCACCATCGCATTATAATAGTAGCAGCTTGAATCGCTTTGGTTTATGAAGTTCTTTTAAACTGTTATTGGTTGCATACTCTAAGGCGAAAACTGAATGATCTATGTTGTCTCCACTTGCACACGGATTTATCTTAAAATGAGCAACTTTTGTGATTCTTACGGCTAAATATCCGAAGTTAATGTGATGAGAGCAAAATATTGCTCTCTGGCAAGTAAATTAGTAAAGGATCTTCAAAGAAGGACAAGGTGCCTACTACATTTTAAAAACATCCCAAGCCCCTGCTCAACACGAAGGCAGTTATTAAATAATCCGGCCTTAGAATTAAAAAACTTGAAAAATTATATATATGTTTCTACATGCACTTGCTGATTTTTTACGCAAGCGATGCTTCTCTTAAGTCCTCAATAAATGAATGGAACCCAGGCAGCCATGAGGGAGCAGCAATAAAGTTAGAGCATAATAGCAGAAAGACTGAAACGTGAGACATTGGCATAATGAAACTATTTTGGGTCTCCTACTAGACAGGCCCGCCTCTAGGTTAATGCTTTTAAGATGAGCGATGGGTATTAGTAGTGCCTTCGTAGAAGACTATCCTTTAATCTCGAGCAAAAAAACTAGTGACTTTTCCTTCCACGGCATAGACTAAAATAGTGCAAAATTTTAAAGCAATGATAATGGCGAATTAGATCGGAAATGTGGGGATCGAAGTCCTTCCTACGTTCAGGCGGTTAGAGAATTGTTTTTTGACCATCAACTACTTGTGATGGCTGATGAGGAAAATTTTTAAAAAAGAGTGCCAAAAAAGAAACGTTAGGGGAAAAAAGAGCTATGTAGTGCTTGAGCGTTTGTCAAACTGCTCGAGTAGTTCAGTGTTGGCATGTTATATTACTACTCTATGCCTTGAACAACGGGTCAAGATAATGGACTGCTCCCTCTTGAGTGCATTAATAGCACATATTCTCTCATTTTGTATTATATTAAAATCAACTACAGCAAGAGTGTGAAACGTTGTGACCGGGAATGGAAATGAAGTGAATATCATTGACAGAATATACGAACACGTGTAATGGTCTGATTTGTCAGCTGCCCTTTTGTAAATGCTACTATATTGTGATAAATGGAAAGCATTTTTTGTTATTAGTATGTCTACTACTTAAGCGGCTTTAGAGTTATCTCATTATCATCAAAATATGTGCGTATTTTGAGATCGCTATGTGAAAACGTAGCCTATTAGTATATCTTTAAAAGCATTAGTTGATGTCCATGTATTGCCTCTCATGCGTTGCTTAAAAATTACACTGCTGACGAAATAATGCAGAGAACCTGATGTTGTTGTTGTTCTAAAACCCTCCTGCATATTAAATTGCAATTAAATACTTAGTGAAACTAACTACCAGATCACTACAATAATTAGGATTCCTCTTAAATGGGAATTCAATAATTCATTGATGCGAGAACCGAAGGGTTGGTCTGTCCAGGAAGGAAGGTAAAATAGTGCTTTGGAAATTTTATCGCAAATGAATGAAGCTACGACTTTTGGCCCGTTCTCGGCTTGTGTTATTGACCCGCAAAGTTGCTGATCTGCATTCCTACCTACTTGGTGTGTTTTGCTGCATTTGAAGTCAGCATTGCTATATTGCTCTAAAATACGTTTCGTACGGGACGTCTTGCAATTATTAAACTTAATCCGACTATTATCTTGACTTTGAATTACCTGAATGCCTTGTTTAAGTGTGGATCTTTCAAAATGTCATTTCGTGTTCCATTTTCTCAGAGATGTCGCTGAATGACACCGATGTTCATAAGCAGGTAATTAGGGAATTCTTATTGCGGGAAAGGACCATATTTATGTGTTAAGATGTTTCTTGCCTCTATTTTGCATTGCTGGTACCCACTTCCCTTACTGTATTTCTGACTCTTCGTTGTCATAGCTGCATTGATCGTCTGGCAATTTTATTCAAATTGGGACTTTGTACTCAATAAATGCCCTTTGTGAAGACAGTGTTGCCAATGTTTTTTGTTTTGCACATATTTTTTTTGCATTCTAGCCTGTGCTATGTCATCCAAATGTGAATCGATTGATTATGCATGACTTATGAGGATTCTGATTTTATTTCTCTTTAGATTCAACGCTTGGTCGCCTTCATTGATCAAGAGGCGAATACTAAAGTAGAGGAGATTGACGCCAAAGCAGAAGAGGAGTTCCAAATTGAGAAGTCCCGTTTGGTGCAGAACCAGCGCCTTAAAATCATGGAGTTCTACACCAAAAAGGAGAAGCAGCTTGAATTGGCTAAGAAAATGCAATTGCTTTGATTAATCACTTCTTGCTGGTTGCACCGATTAAATATGATCTGGTGTGTCTTTTATGTGTAGCCAGGACTCCAATTTAATGCACGAAGCTCGTCTCAAAGTTCTTCACAATCGGGAACGCTTCATCGAGGAACTTCTTCAAGAGGCGCGCAAGCGCCTCTATGTAATTACAAAGGATAGTAGCAAATATAGTGCTACTCTGGGTGGACTTATCACTCAGGTGAGCTTCGAAACTGGAAAAATTCGAAGTTTTATGTATGATATCTTCCGTTTGTTGTGTGATTTCCTGTTCGCAAATGTAGCGCCCATTTCGGCACCCATATTTGCCTTTGTTGAGGTACTGTTACGATTGGATTCCATATTCAGTTTTGTCGAAACTTGCGCTGTGTTAGTGATTGAAGGGTTATTAAATTACCATGTTTGATTAAATCCTGTGTAAATTCACGTCCTCTTATGCTTGCTTATATCTTCCAGGGTCTTCTCCAGCTTGTTGAACCAGAAGCAACGATAAAGTGCAGGGCTGAGGACTACGATCTCGTCAAGGTATGCCTCCCTCATGTTTCCATTGGCAAGATTTTCTCTGTTTAAATGTGTTTGGTGCATAGGGCATCACGCTTAATCTTTTTTCTACAGTTTTATTCGCGGCGAAGTGCTTTGAGAACTTGTTTTGTATGGAAGCATGTTAAACAATGAAATAAAATGTGTACTTACACCTTTGCTCACATGGTTCGAAATAAATTGTCGCCCTCTTAAACGTAGTTGTTAGTTAACAATTATGAATTTGTCCTTGCCACTGTTTCCAGTCCCTTGTACCGACTTCGGTTAAGGAGGTGAAGCGACAGACCGGAATCGATTGCAACATAACCGTCGACAATGCCAACTTTTTACCACAAGACAGGTTAGGGATGTCATCTACGTCTTAATTGGCACATATTTAAATTTCCACAAGCACCATATAAAAATTGCATTTGTCAGCTGTGGCGGCGTTGAGATCTACGTGCGCCAGGGTCGCATCTGCGTGAACAACACCTTGGACGCGCGTCTGGATCAGGTGGCAGAGAAGATGATGCCTCGGATCCGTGAGCAGCTCTTTGGAGTTAACAAGAATCGCAAATTCTGCGTCTAGAGTGCTTTTTCCCTTTGCTTCCGTCGGCATTTGCGCTTCTCTCTCAATAGCATGATACTACTGGTTATTTATTTTCTGTGTGCATTGCTGTCGATTCTGGATTCGTGTACTTCGATCCTACTTTTCCTCTATATTTGTACCTTCATTCCACCGCTGTGGGCTTTGCCCAGTACGAGTTTAATAGACGTATTCAACAATTTCCTCTATTCGCATCAAGGAGGGATCAAAAGTAGACGGCCACGTTGACTTCAAACGTTTGCTAAATTTTCGAGATTTAGTCATTCGTAGTTTCTATAGAAAGCTATATCTTTTGTGCGGTTTTGCTTCAGGTTGTGCGTGGGCTGGGTAAGATTTTAACGGTATTGGCAACTGTGCTGTGGGCTTTGAACTAATACTGCTTGGGTAATCACTGAAAGACGTACAGGTGACCTTGTAATGTTGGTACAACTTGGATGTCTCGCCGTTAAATGGTTGGGCGCACTCTCATCGTTGTTCTGTGCTTGGTTACGCGCAAATCTCAATGCCTTTGGTCACACGCTGCCGTCTTGACTAACAGTGGGCACCAGTCACTGAGCGTGGAGTTCCTGCGGTGGCCTCACATAATGGTAGTCCTAAATTTAGCTGCGGTCTGGCTTGAACATCTCTCGCATGGACCTGCGTTCACTGTTAATTTCTAGCCTTAAACAAGTTATTACTACCGCAAGTATATGCCTTCATCTAGTCAACGGAGTCCTGATTTACCGGGGCGGGTCGCTGTAGGGCTGGTGGATTCCATCGAAATTCATCGTCCGGTAAATATAAGAAATTTAACTACTTTACCGACGTAAATCAATTTGGCTTTTGATTGCGTCGAGAAAGCTGTAAATAATGCTTTACGTTCCAATAAAAAAACTTGCTACTGAAAATTTTGACATTTTTAGTGTGAATATCAAATTGGGTCTCGCCTTCCGAGGGCCCCATAGGTACGTACCGTAGATTCAGTTACTCCGTAAGGCATTGTGTAGGGGGCCTTCAAGGGAACTGGGGCTTCAATTTTTCATATGCTATAGTGCAGTAGCACCAAAGAGGTTTGAGCTAGTCCGACCCAGTTCACGTTAGTTGACGAAGTAAAACAAACTGACCCCATGTAATTCAGCGGATCTGACAAATTCCACTACACCAGAAGTCGTCTGGTATTCGACAAAAGCTTACGGTCATGGGGTAGAGGAATGTGAAGATCTTTAATGCCGTTCTCACTCTGCAGCGGATCTTGCTCCCCATAACGACAGAGATTCCAGTTTAGCATGAACATCCCTAATCCCAAATACTAACAAAAAACCAGATAAGGCAGCGTTTAAAAAAGTACTTTATAAAAAGTGGAAGTTTATTATCATTTAGCTACCGCCTTCCTCAAAGCTCAACAAGGGCAGAAGGGCCGGTAGAAGAGAGAACAGGCAAGAGAGATGTAGAGAGCAGAAGTTCAATTTGTCGCCTTGTTCGCTTTCTCCTCCGCCGGAGTTGGCGCTTTGACCTCGAGGGCAGACCAGGAGCAGGCCTCAGCTTTGCGCATCACCACTTCCAGCTTAGTGGCCATCAAATTAAGTCGTGAGGTCTCTGGATCAATCACCTATAGGGAATAGCAACACCACATCCATCTCATTACCAGTCTTAGTAAATCCACAAATTAATTAAAATTTTGCTAGACAATTAAGAGGAATGCAATTACTCAATCTGTTCATCAGCGATATTTTTGTTCATCACTTTGTACAGCAAGAAAATAAGGGAAATATGGAATGAATGACAATGACGTTGGCAAACGTATTTTCCTACGGTGTGCATATTCAGTTTCGCATTTAGAAAGTCCACCAACGTTAATTTTTATCCCCATGAATGGGTTACTCTGATCTCCCCAATCCATAAAAATAAGCCCAATCTTTGGGGCAACACGATAAAAAGAGAAGCGCCATACAATGTCCATATTGATCAGAAGTTCAACCCTAATCGTAGTTCATTAGCCTGTATGTCAGCCACTTTAGAATATGATTTCACGTACCGGGAATAGGACGGACAAAAAAGAACGTTTAGAAGCAGTTGGCGAAAATTCAGTAGTTAGAAACGGCTTTTGTAAAAAATTTCAGTGTCCAACTCAATGCACAAAAGAAACTGGATTCCAACTCCCATTTATGACCCCGACAATCCATAGGACCAAGAATCACAAACTTGGAAAATTGAGATAACAGTAACCACGACGGATACCAGGGGAGGAGTACGAAAAACTTCCGGAAACGTACACGCATACAGCGAATCTACCCAATAGTTCTGAAAGATGAATAAACATTTCAAAATTAATACCGATCTCATAAGGAAATAAAACCATAATTAGTAAAACAGCAATTGACAAATGTTAAAAGTGGGATCAATGAAAAGGACATTCCGGAAAGGCACTCATTTCTCTCACATCACTTTCTCTTCTGTAATAAATGGGTGAACTTGTCCGGTCTATAAGATGAAATATTTGACCGATTCAAAATGCGTACTTGAGTACAAAAATGAAGACAAGCAAATTAGCACATTTGATATCGAAATTCCGGGGGAACAGATGCAATCTTGTTCTGAAGTGATACCAACACTCTCACTACTTAACTGACTAAACTGCTGCCTAAACAGTAAGAGGGTAGCCGGCATTATGTCAAGAGCAGCACCCATGTCAATTTTATCTTTTTGGACACAAAATATATCCGAGACGCACGAACTAGTAAAACCACAGTTTTCACAAATCAGACACAAACATGCAGCACGACTTTCTTTAGAGCTTAAACGATTGTCCGAAATCCCATTTTTCTATTTAGTCTAATTGGAAATCCAAAACTTAGCAGAATGGAAACGGCAAGCAATCTAACCCATTGGGATGGGCTATGAGCCGCGATTCAGACCATGAAAGTGCCTTCCTAATTACAGTGACCAGATTTTGCACAGCAATTAATAAGATCTGACACAAGGCGACGACTTCGAAACATATATTACTTCTACACAAGACGGTACCAACAAGGTCGAGGTAGTAAAGTGGAAATGCACCACCACTCACTCAGGTTAGAATAACAGTTCAAAGTGCGACTACGTTGACCTTGCTAAAAAACTTTCATATAGTCTACTACCATCAAATATTTGTGGAATGCAAAGCACACTTTAAACTAAAAAAACCACCAAAGCAACCAGACACAGGACTGAAATAACCTAAGTTCCAGCTCAATAAAGTTCTTCAAAAACAAATCAAATAGTTTTTTCATAAGTACCAAAAAATTAGTGGAACCAAAAACATAGAGATCTCATACACATCGCGGCAAAGTGTGCACGGCACTATCCTACCCCAAAGAGATTGAACGATCTTTCAAAGTGTGACTTCCCACCGTCGTAGAGGAAGGAGAGGGTGAGAAAGACACTGTTGCACCGCACATCAGCGGACTCAGGTAGTACGTTTTTCGCATACACCGATAGGGTGACGGTACCGGGCATTTGAAACCAATCAAATCGGCATTGTGATGTCAATGGGGCGAAAAATGTGCCGTTCGCTATCGCCGCCTGTTAGAACAGACGCAAAAGCATAGGTCAACGGATTGTGAATCCTATAAAAGGACTAATCAAAATATGAGAGGTCTATTGATGAGCATTACTCCAATGTTTTCCAATTTTAAAAGCAATAAGTATGCCTTAAACGTATTGATAAGACTAGAAAGAATTCCGTGCCTCCTTTGTCCACGCATGCCGACCGGCAGTACAGCCCTCTTGAGCCAGGAACGCTTCAAATTCAGTCGTCTTCCTTTGACAACAGCTCCAATACTTACAGCTAGACAAAGATAAAAACTTTTTAATGTGGACGCGAAAAAGAGAAATATAAGCAAAAACTGCAAAATAGACACCCCCTTACCCCTCATGAAATACGGGTATACCCGAATGATACATACACGTCTCAGTATTACTTTCCGGCCCATGAAAAGTCTGAAAAAAATTAATGAATCATAAAGCACGTGCGCCCAAGAGTGAGAAATTACAATTATTGGAAGGGAATTCACCGCTTTGCAGCCGTTGTTAAAGCAGGATTTGGGATCTACAGAAGAATTCCAACAAAGAGTCAGTACGCATCGATAGTAGCTGGACTTTAGATAATAAACCTGAGAATAGAGACTTACCTTGATCGCTGATAGCATCTGTGGCAGAGGTATCCTTTTTCCTCAACGCTCCTAGCGCAGTTTTGAGGCTTGGTGATACAACTGGAGCAAGCACTTTTAAAGGGGCATCGGACGAGGGCCTTGCAAGAGGAACTTTTGGGATGGGCTTTGGAGCTGGTTGTACAGGTGGTGCTATGTTAATCTAAACAAAATAATGGGGTAAAATCCAAGTACCTCAGGAGCTGGTTTCTCTACAATCACGGGAACAGGTTTTTCAGGATTATGAGGCCCAAATGTGCAGCCTTTCATGCTGAGAAACTCACCAAAGTCCGTGCTGTACTTGTTACAGCAAGACCACTTCTTTTTGGCATCATGAAAAATGGGCTCGCCAGGGTGATACTGGCAGGCGTCTAAAGGAAACTATAGGGGACCACGTATTACTAACTTGACCCATTGTCATCCGGACTAAATTCTTTACCACAGCCCTTGTTGTAGCAACGCAGTGAAGGCATGACCACAAAGCTACGATAGCGACGCAAACTCAAAGTAGAGGCGCACAGGCTGCTTAAGTACGACGACGCTATTCCTCATTGGTGTGTTCAAAAAGGAGAGTCATTTATGGTATCTCTAGAAAGTTCTAGACTTAGAATTCACCCTTTTTTTGCACCACTCCTATTTTTTCGTTTTTAATAGGTTTGTAAAATAGTAATAGCTGCGTTACGAAAACTTCAAAAATTGTCCTTCTTATTTGTTGTGCCCCGAAATAACAAAATAAGGTGACGTTAATTTCTGCACTTATATACCAAGTCCTCACATTACAGTTACACTTCTTCTAAAGAAACAAAGTAGAATCATTTGGTTGGGTTGATAATCATGTACCCAGAAAGCCTGCTTTAATGATGGAGAAAAAACCTAAACTGTTTTGTTCAATTTCAAAGCAAGATATCTCTTGACATCAAAGGGTGTTATAGAGGGCTGGTTATCATGAGGAATAGTGTGCAGCGTCCCGAGACCTCCCTGAAGAAGAAAGAAGACACAATACTCGGGAATAATATATATTCGGCACGGAGGTGTTTGGGCTACTGGCATGGCCCGTAGGCAAGCCCATCCAGGAAGGTACAAGAAGGCAAATTTAGAAGTTCAAAAGTGGCGCCTCACTAATACGAGGGAGAAACCACCATCGTATTACAAGTGCATGTATTTTGACTTGACTTAAACGATTGCCTGGCGCTAAACTGCTGAGGTCTCAGCAGAATTTATCAATTGCAACTTGTCATCCCACTTTTCTAATAAGGCTAATGCGCCTTAGACGTAGGCTTATAATTGGTGTACAGAAGAGTTTGGAGGATACCAGCCTAGCTTGTTTTGGACCTCACAACGTAGACCGAAGTTCCCGTCTAGATGGGCATAGTAGACCGCTGTAAAGCTCCTGAGTCATTTTTAACGTCCCTTTGTCTGCGTTGTTCATCACAACATGGTCGGTACCTTTAAAACCGCTCACGAACCATGAAGGGGGACTGAGAAGTTTTCCTGTCTGTGCCATTCGATCCCATAGTCACTGATTCACTCTGGAAATCCCACTAAATCGGAAAGCCCGCCCTATTTGTGATCTGCATTGAGGAGAAAAGTGCGCCGACGCCATACTGAGTAGGCCCAGACAATGCTCCGTCATGAGACCATTTAATAAACCTCTCACTAATCAGAAGAATTTCACACAAAAGCAGAGCCATTTAATGGAAGTGCTGGCTCGGGACTAGTATTTTGCGTCTATTCCCCATCGCAACTATATTCACATTTTTTTCCTACTCGGCCCTCTAGCTGGTTTCCACCTTTCCACGTAGTTAGCCTGGTTATACAGGTACCGCTGACAGCTTCACAGTAGACTGTTTCAATTCGTTCAAGTCGATTGCCGATGCCGGTAATTACTAACCTTCCCGCCGAAAACATAGTTGGAGTTGACGCAGTCACCAAGCTTTCAGTTGGGAGTACCCACAATCCCAGGCATCTACAGCAGAAACCCTTTTTCGGTATCGTTAAGGTTTGTGAATTATACATGGTAATCAATACAGCCTCCCTGCTGGGTTCAACTAGCTTGTTACTGTCACCGCTGTGGAGCCCCAAGCCTGCTCTGAAGTCGTAGCAAGCCAAAGTGGTAAAGAACACATACTTTCATGGTCCAGGGGCCATGCTACAGGGCGGAAGCGCATCTCGGGGGGCGGGGAGGGGACTAATGTGCCTGCCTTATTGAGAGCGCAGTTAAGGAAAATATCAAGCCACCATACATGGTCTGAGCCCCCGTGAGGTCGCAATATACCATACCACCATCCGCACACCCGACGGTGGAACGAATGAGCATGCCCACCTGTCACAGACAACGCCCAAGAAGACCGAACGGGGACCAGGAGCTGTAGTGGACAGTAGGGACGAACTGAATGGCCATTGATCAACAACAAACCAACATTTCGTTACACATCTGCACATAAGTCCTATTTCCTTAAGAGCATGTGGTGTCAAACAGAGCATAGCCGAGCTTTGTGGGGGCACAACACTTGACTTCCACGCTGTCATACACCAAATAAAAGATCCGATGTAATTCAAAGTTACAAGCCTAAGCGTTCAACCTGGTGTTTAAATTGGGAATCAGCCAAAAAGGCCTTTAACATGACTGTTAGCACCGACTTTGCCAAAGTATGCCGGTGAAAAAAACCACCAAGAAAGGAACCTGTCAATGCTAAAAACCCTCTCGCTATCTGCCATCTTTACCTGTTAAATCCGAAATCTAGAAACGAAGTCTGTCGAAGACATGGGCAGAAAAAACGGTACGACGCTAACTTGAGACATACATTACAATAAATTGAAAGACAGTACAAACAAAGGCGCGCATGCGCACATAGAGGAATGCATACTTGTGATGTGCAAAATTGAGCGAGTGTGTGTGAGATTGTGCATGAATGCTTCGGGGACCTCCTCTCCTCTTAGTTACAACTCCACTCCAAGCTGTCCAACAGCGCCTCACACAGCTCCGGTGATCGATGACGTTCACGAGCCCCGAGCATCACCTTTCGTACCGTCTCAGGGGAGACCTGTGCGATGCGGAGAATGACACGAGCCACTGCGGCCCGAATAACTCCATCTGCGTCGTCTAAATGCACCGCCACGCTAGCCGTGAGATCTTCCAACACCGCCGAGTAAACCGGGTTGAGTTGTTTGCATAAGGTCGGACCACTCGACGCCGACGTGGAATGCTTCGGCACCGGAGGCGGACGATCCACTAAATTAGGTGCCATTACCCAGAACCAAGTGACAAGGACGTCGGCCGCTCGGAGACGGACCTAAAACGGCAATTTTTTTGCCCACAGGAGTTTTTACGTAGAGCTTTCCACTCAACCCCGTGATTTGCAAGGCCGTTGTGGAAGTCCAAGATTCAGCAGCATAACGGTACCTCTTTAACCAATTTAAACAAGTAGCACTGAAGTAAAACCGACCCACTCGTGTGCATAAGAACCGATTTGTTAGAGCAAAACCTGCATTTGTATCTCGGTGCAGTCCTCTGTTCACGTTTACGCTTATCCTGGCGTTTAACAAATAAATAGAAAGCATCAGAATTGCAAGCATTCGCCACTGCATCCAAATCGGCCTAAGGCGACTCGCTTTACTTCGTCTCGATACCCACCACAGGAAAAATTTTTGGGATTGCACATGCCCGTGAACGATCGTATTCACCGTTCCTATAGAAAACTTAGCTTATTAACGTTTCATCACACGGTAAGTCATGCGTTGATCAGGCACTCCACGAACTGGATGCTTATGAGAATGACTGTTGTCTGGCGTCACTGACAGACGTTAGGTTATCTGCCTTTCAAACGTTGATATCAACAGAATGTCGCACCACTGAGCGGTTAAGCATTGCGGCATCACCACACTTAGCGGAAACTTCGTTTGTCACTACAAGATGTTGCAGTCATGCCCGTGCTACCGCTGTTATGTGTCATCTTGACTAATGGCATCTGGACCTAACTGGCCCAAATACGACGCGCTCCAACTCTTACAAGTAGTTGTAGGACTACTGTACGCGGAAGAGCCGAGTTAACATCGCATTATGATAAAATTGGAATTAAAATTGATGACTGAACTTCAACGCTCCTCGTATACTTTACTTCTCCAGGAGGCAGTCCGTTATTTTGATCATATTATGTTCCCTTTTAGTCCTTCGCTCCTTTTTTATCTGGACGGATGTTCGGGTCAAAAGTAATAGGCACAGGGAAAGCTCCAGCTGTAAAACTCCACCCAGTACGTTATAACTGCCGAGAGCGCTAAAGATGATGCTTAAAACGAGCCCAGAGTCATGAAATTGAATGCTACTTACCAGAATATTTTTCCAATCAAGTTCACTAGTTTGTCTTCACGCTGACGTCGTGATGATTTAGTTATTTCACTATTGTTTTTATCATTCCAGTCACCCACAATTGGGCTACCCGTATGCCTTTATAACGGATTTGCAGGTAACTGGATTCAACAAGCAGTTTGCCAACGTTTTTGTATTCAGGGTTTGACACTTCCACCCATGGTCCATAATCCTATCTTAGCGTTATAGCATTGTTATTCCTCAAACAAATTTTTTTTTCTTTAGAATGAACCTAGTTATCGCATCCATGAGAGTTCAAAACGTCCCAGAAGGCGCCAAAAGATATATACATGCTCAGAACGCCGCCGAAGCATTACGAAGTTTTCAGGGATAACTTGGTTGTCACAATCATTTTAGCAACGAGTTTGCGATTCCGAACTTGCTGCTTTCACTTCTGGTCCGAACAATAGAGCTGTTCTTGTATGTAAATGTTGTAGGTCTTCAAGAAATGAACATCCCCAATTTCTAGCATCCAAGTCATCCACGAAGAAATCACAAAGGCTCAGAATTAGCCTTGCCATAAATGTAGAGAAGAACTGAGGGAGTACCAGTATGAGAACGGAAAGAGGGAACCATGCCACCAGCATGATAACCAAATTAAGAAAGACTGAAAATAACTATGGATTTGACTCAACACATTCTCAGAGTTGATTCGAAATAGGAGGCTAACAGTCAGATCGACTGAGTTTTATACCTTAAATGGATAAGCAAAATGCCCAGTGGAATTTGATTGTAGTCTGTTAGAATCTATGCACAAGAGCTCACAACAACCACCAACCTCATCCGAAGCATCGTCCAGGGCCTTGAGCAAACAAGGATAGAAGCGATAAACCTTGTCTCCAAGCGACCCAGGTAATGGTGTCGTGAGGCCTGGCATCTTGTCGCCATAGCCTTCGATATCTACCTCTTCCATCCCCGCCGAGGCATCGTCACGTAGGGGCAGGAACCACGCAGGTGAGCGAAGGAAGGCGCCGGGCAAGTTTCTACTGTCACCATCAGTAGCACAGCTACTACCGACAGCGTCTTCACTGCCGCCGGCATGGAGACCACCAAAGAGGAGGGCGAGACCGGTGCAAGCAAGAAGGCGCGTGGCTTCTACATCATCGATCAGGAGGCTACCGAGACGCGTCAGTAAGAGACTAAGAAGACCAGGCGAGGCAGCACTCACCAAACCTAGGTTTGCCAGTTGCCGTGTGTCTGTCACGTTCCTAGTGGCTGGGGCAGGCGGATTGATAAGGCAAATGCGATAGCTTAGCAAACCTACAATGAGAGCGCGTTTGTGGGTGAAGAAAGCAGAAGTTTGCCATCCGCATAACGTTGATGAATATAAAGGGAAAATAGATACGGTTATTGTGACGGGACGACTGAAGAATCACTGAACATGAACTATTTCAGGTTACAAGTCTCCACAAAACTGATTACGCAAACAGGTCTTCCTCTTATTATGGCTTTCTGAATTGACACTTCGTTCGATAGATAATGGTTTAGGGGTCACTACGTTATGATGTGAATCAATATCCTCTGGTACAATGCGCACTTCAGCGATGCAGGTCTTCAAGAAAGAGAACAAATTTGATGGAGCATCATGATTGCCATCAAGCGCTTAACATTTCTTAATTTTACACCGTATATCACACTGAATTTTGCTAGTAAATCATTGTACAACGATTGAGAATGAGAGAGATAAGGCCCATTGATAACTGCGCGAAATAATGTCAAAGTTAATACAAGATATCTGAAAGTAGAGAGATGAAGGCTAATATTCTAAGACAATGATAGAAGTGTCTACGATGGAATAACAAAGCAACACATCCATCGTGAACATTTGAATTATTAGCTCAATGGATATGTTTCATTTTTATCACCAAAGCAAAAGGCATTAAGGCTAGGATGCTACTAAACAATTTGGTAACGTGGACATCTACGTCTCTGTGTATGGTATTACGAAAAATCCTAGCGAGACATCCGATTCTTTTGAGCAATCCGAAATTCTGAAAACGATATCCCTGATAGCTAGTTACAAGATACCATCTTCACGAATTCAAATATGCTGTTTGGCTGGTTGTCCTCGTGGAATCGCTTATTTTGGAAAGTAATTTGTCTTCTACTTAATGAATATACGACGAATGTAAAATTTTATGATGTAACCAGAAAAACTCTTGCCCCCCTTTTAAGTAAGACCAACAAATTTGTAGAAATATTCAATTAAAGTAAACCATCCACTGAACTAATGACCATTGCACTTTACCAATCGTTTCTACGAATGCACAGGACAGTTAAAAATTCCATTTTGTTTCACATAAAGTTATGTGATTGTCAAATGCTAATGCCAAGAAAAGGAACTACTAGTCAACTGGAGCAATACATGGGAAATACACTGAATGGGGATGAGACACCCAAGTGCATGGCAAGAGGTCTTCTTATAGGTGAGTTTCCTGGTATGGGGTTTTACATTATGCTGTTTCTTTAGGGATAATTTTTTCTGATTTACCAGTTCTGACTGTTTTCCAAGACTAAGCTCTTCTTACACACGTCCCAGATGCATCACATAAACAGGCCTCAGTTGTAAGTTTGAGTATTTAGTAGGAAATTCAGTGAACGATTAAGTCTACAGTACGCCACACACAGAGCGGACATGAGCTTCTGGGGGTGAAGTCATGCGTGCTGGATAGTAGACAGATTGGCCACCTTCTTTGGCTTAACGAGCGTTGGAATATAAAAGCTACAATAACACTGTAAGCCAGTCGCCAATCTGAAATCAACGTGTTTTATATCGTGAGTAAAAGTGCTAGAGAACGAACTGACAGTCTTTCAAGCTTACTGATTGCTGTTGATGTATAGCATTTGGGACCCATTTGCTTGGTACCTTCCACGACTTTGCCAATTGATGCAAATGTAAACCACCCATTCCACTTTTTCCAGGCATTGATCTCGAATCAACGCGTCAACAATACCTTACAAATCACCAATGCCAAGAGTTTATCCTCTCAACGTGAGGGAACTATCCTTAGATGATTTAGTACTCAAATTAAGTTATTTAGACAATTTCTAGGTGATGCTTTCTGCTGCCACATCCAATGACGTACAACAAATTTAACGGAAAGTTTTAGCAGCCTTACAGCCCAGTTAAACTCTGTGAGGCCGACAGAGTAGTAATCACTAACATCCCGCCAGTTAAACCAACGTTTGACGGCGTGAGTTTAAAGCGGCGGGAAAGTAGTAGGAAACATAAAAATACAGATTAATGCATATCTGTCCTTTATGATGAGTACAAATGAACAGCCACTTCTTAGAAGTCCCCACAAGTTACAGACTATTGCACAAGATCATACTAAAGAACAGTTGAACTTCATTGGTAACCTGGTAGAAGGGAACAAAATTATGCCAATGCGCATCACTTTAAGAAGCCAGGTTAAAAATTTTGTCACGATTAAAGCGCATACGAATGAAACAAACGCGGCAGTGAATGTACGAAAAAAATGATCTACACAGAAATAAAGTAGTTATTTGGACAAACTGGCAAGCCACATAAACTGAATAGCTTGATAGAATAAACGGGCATCAGAAGTGAAATCGTTTCATGGACATAACAGTACATATTTTGAAGTAACATGAGAGATTCTCCTGTGAAATTCCGGGATAAAGTGGATAGATTCAAAGTACAATCAAGTGTATGACATGCGACTAGTAAAGTCATTCGATATCCACCGAAATTGGCGTAGAATGGATATCACCACTATCAACTTGATTTTATGCTGTAAAACATGAAAAATAAACAGCATACCCGTTAATAATCTAGGTTATTTAGTCACATGAAACATTACAGAAAATTTTTTCCTGTTCTGATTTCAAAATATTAAATAGGAATAAAGAACAAATGTGTGACATAAATGATCGGAATTTCACCTAGACCCAAAAGGCTCGACATAATATGGGAGAGGCGAAAATGATATCGTGTTCGCCGCATTACATTCCAGAAAATTCGGAAGTAAACAACTCCTTCCCCTTACTTATTCATAAAAAAGAGAGCATTCTGGGGGAAAGGAAACGATGGCAGGATACGAAAACAAAAGAATGCTTAGTCAACTCAATGCTATTCCTATGATACTCTAGCAACAAGACATAAATCCACAAGATGCATGATATGACTTAAGGTTCCTGGTAAGGCGTAACTAGTAGTATAGCAGCAAAACTTACCATTTTTGGCAAGAAGTTCAGCAAGTTTGCCTTTAGTAGGAGCTATGCGTTGGTTAATCCACTCATCGAGGAGGCGCTCACGGGTGTTGGGGCTTTCGACGGTAGCGAAGGCGGAGGAGGGCGGGGTGAGGGGCACGACGGCTGCGAGAAGCGCTACGAGACTGGTGGCTGCCGCCTTGCGCATCGCCTCTGCCGTGCGACCAGCACGCCACACACAGGAAGGTAGGATCAGGCACTCAAGGCAGTAGCGGAAGAGGCTTGGCTGAGTCAGTACTATCTGTGACGTTGGGGGAGGGAGGGGGGGTAAGAGGAGACTACATGAGCAGTTAGCGAATGCATGTCTACTCGCATGAAATTCACAGTAGAAGAGAGTAGCAGTCTTGACTTCGATAGAAAGCAAAAATTGACACTATGTTCGCTGGCTCACTCAATAAAGAAGCCTCTGCCAATGATTTTTGAGTATTAGATGCGAACATCGATAACAAGAACAAGTCTAGTGACAACATGAAGATAATCACATTTTAGGTTAATTTATTTAACAGACAACTTCTATTGAATGATCCCAGACTGAATTGAATAGGACAATAAGCGAAAAGATCACCATCTTGAACAGATGCCCCAGAAAATTCATTCTGTGAAAAGAAAAAGACGTATTTCTATCGATGAGAGGAGTGCCCATGAACCATGACATGACAATTTTGAAAACATTTCATAAAGCCTTACCGTTCGAGGGAAAAAAAAAACACGAAAGTGACTTATTCCTAAAACCAACAGTTAATTGGAAAACTGTTTTACGCCAATGAACATAGGAATTGTAGTCTTTACACGATTATGAAATTGCAAAGGCGGGAACATTATCACAAAGCCCCATCTTACGACAAAGGAAGGACACAATCATGCGACAATTTGCTGTGGCAACGAAGGACGATTTTCGATTGTTAAAATGGTCTAAAATCTAAAGTAATCGCTTTCCCTAGTCGGTGAGAATAGAAATCTGCGGTTTTCTTCGGCCGACATAGCAAACGCGCAAATTTGCCAAGATGAAAGAACATGAGATTGATAGCTGTTCCAACAGATAGACCATGGTAACAACTAGCAAGAATTCAAAAGGGTGTACCGATACCGAATTTCCACACCTAAATCTTAACCTTTAAAACTAACTTTAAAGGTTGCAATGATTTTTAAGGCATCATACTTTTGTACGATAAGAATATCTTGTCAAAATAAACGAAGCAAGTTTATAATGAAAATACGTCGACGTCGTACAAGCTCAGTGGAGAGAATTAAATTTCACAAGATTACACAGATTGTCCCTCAAGTGTGACGGCTAAACAATACCGATCTTACCCTCACGCGTGCGTGCTCAGTGAGTCGCATGAGCAGTAGCAGACCTTTGAGGTGCAGCTCAGCCTCCGCTGCAGTGGACAGCGGGCTGGGAGCCGTCTTCGGTCCTCCACCCTTCCCATTTGCTTCCGCAGTGGTGTCTAATGGCTGTCCCAATCGGCAGCCCTCTTCAAGCAGGCGAAGAGTGAGGTAGAGAGATGAGGATGTAATACCATCAGTAACCGACGGAAGCGCCGATAACTTGGCTGAGCTGCCACCACCACAGCTGCAACATTCCAAGGGCTCGAGGCCAAGGAGTAGGCCAGGACCGGCAGCGAGAACCGCATGGCAGAAGATGCTCAGTCCTACCGACTTGGCGTGCCAACTACTACCACTGTTGCCGCTATGGTTACTTTCGCGCCGACGACCCTCATCCAGGCGTCGCAGCAGCTGCGCATGTGTATGGAGAGATAGACGAGGTACACGTTAGGCGAAACATAAGTCTACTAATTCAGTTTTGATCCCGCAGTCCCAAGATCCATTACCTCAACGTAAATTTGCATTTTCTTTAACAAAAATCCCTTTATACTTGCTGACTAGACTCGCATTTTCCAAAACTCTTAGGTAAGGTGCATAATGAGCAGGCCAGCACATACATCTTACCGTAGTGTCAGGGGTTTTGAATTTTTAGAGTATAAGTAATAGCAACATTTATGAATAAATTTCTTAAAAGGGGGTTAAAATCAAGCAAGCAACACAATCCATACATGCCTTAGGCAGTTGATGACCATAGAGGCGCTCCAGGAGCAAACCAGCACGTTTCGCTTCAGCTACAATCAAGTCCTCCTTCGCCTCCTTTGACATTGACTCCTCTGATTGCGCCGTCTCACAGATTGATGTAACGCCTTTACCTAGGCGAAGCAGGGTGCCTTGATGTCTCGAAAGACAGCAAAGCAGACGTCCCACCTGGTCGTTGAACTCCACAACAAACTCTGTGCGCTCAACACCCTCCTCCCAGCAGGCACTCACTGACATCAGCAGAAAGAAGGTGTCCTCGAGGAGCTAAAGGCAATGGCCATAACTAGAACATTTTAATGCATACACCTCACATTGCAGTGAACGGTGGCTCACTTTCAAAGAAACATCGTTTAATGCTCCTTCGGAAGCATTACCATAAGCTGCAGCACTTTTCACCATCTCCGCACTCCGCCTTTCTAGAAGTTCACCGAGGAGGGAGGTGAGAGCATTTGCGCACTCCAGGAGACCCGCTTTGGAAGAAAATGAGGAGCAGGCAATCTGTTCGTCAGCCGTCAGGAAAGCAGTGATACGGAGGAGAGGACAAAAGCATCCGACAAGAGCGACGTTGGCAGCAGTACCGTCGGTGTCGATGGAAATGAGGCTGTCCACACAACTACCCGCAAGCAGATTGGCCAGGAGAAAATAGTTGGCTGCCGAACTGGCAGGTGAGGTGGCCTCCAAGCAACGGCGTGAGTTCTCGCGCAAGAGCTTCCACCAAATCTAAAAAAAAACATTGAATTAATTAATAATGCCCATTCCTCATCAGATAAAAAAGTTATCTTTGGAACCTAAAATATGTTCCGGTCAATTCAGTATTGAAAGTGAAATTCGCAGTTAACGTGCCCCTCGTTGGAGAAAGTGTATGTTGGGAAGTTACACTAAATTAAATAATTTGCTCAGAGGCATAAATTTTCAATACAAATTAACGGAGAGAATGTCATTTTAAAATATGTTGACAGCCCGAATTGATTCTAAAGCGGTTAATAATTCAAAAGTAACTCACAAACAACTTTCTCCAAGATACGATGCAGTGATTTTTCACAACTAAGAAATTGATGAAAATTCGACTAACTGTTTGATAAGGATTCAGCGGATTCGCTTTCCTAGAGTTGGTGGTTCCTACTCAATAGGTGCTGCAAATATTTCAATGAACAAAACAACAATTCCTCGGGATTATCGATTTTTTCTTTTACAAACAAAAAGCAGGCTATGTTCCTCACCCATCTGGAGCCTAAAATACTTGTACGAGATCGATCAGACAGTGCTATGTGGTCAAAGAGACAAGACCGTTACTTCCAACGGTGAACCATAGGAACGCATCATTTGCAATGTGAATCAGTGTTAAGATGCCACTCCCGAAATATTCTCAACAAAGGGGTAAAAAAAGAAGAAACTGCTACGTAAGATCCAAGAAACGCAGCGATGATATTAACCAGTGCTAGAGCTGATTCAAATGCAAAATTGCCTGCAAAGCTTGGATGGTAGTCCGGACGGATACCATTTTTTAAAAATTGTAAAACGAAATTCTCAAAAATCATAGCTCGACCAAAATCCAAAATAGGCCTATGCAAAAAAGTCCCTCAACAGCTTTCAAATCACGTCCTCCAGAAACCTCCCAGGAGTACTACCATATTGGGCCTAGGAGACACTGCGGTATTCATAAAAGAAGTACTATAGGCGAATATTTATGATGTAGAGTTACGACAAAAGCCAATTCCAGGAATATCATTTTGAGCGCCTTTCCAATAAAGAAATGCAAAAATGTGCGATGAGAATTAGGAAAAATGAAATATTAAAACCAGCCAACAATGTTTCTGAAGAACATTCAATGGTCATTTAAATCTCAATAGACACCAAAATTATTTGTGACCTCTTTCCTAATACCTACGAAGTACAATCCTCGAGGTGTCCCCCATTCGATACTTGAGATGATTCTAAACAAAAGTTCCTCAGCACGTCTATACGTGGGCTCAAGGACACCTAACATATAATCCCCAGACGACAGCAAGTGAACACATTGCGTCATCGACAACAGAACCCACACTTAGGAAGACAGTTTGCTAATGAATATACCTACCTCTGGCTCCACAAAACAAGCCACATATCGAACAGCTGCAAAGAGCTGTTGCAGAACACCGAGAGCCTCAGAAGTCTCTGCACTTGGAGCAACAGCAGCAGAGGGATTCAATTTACGTGAGGTTGTGAGATCCGAGAGACAGGGCAATCCACGGGGCGGACTCATGAGAATGAGGTGGATGGAGCCACCGTAAGTAGCAGAGGAGATACGAAGCAGGGCCTCCGCTACCCCGTTGCAAAGACCAGTGATGAGAAGTTGGGTATGCTGCGTGATGCCCGCCTCAATGTGTAACAGCACAATGGGCAACAGACCGGCTGCCTTGTGTCGCGTCGCCTCCTGCCAGTCGCGCAGATCGTTACAAAGGCCTGGCAGTAGGCGCGAGGCCGTACGACTCAGCAGCTCACGGCAACCTTCATGAGGAACCAAGAAGAGCAAGGTCAATATAGTTCTAGTCTGTACTACAAGATCATTGAATGGTGGTGTACGAGGGTTATGGGCTGAGGCGAATATGGATTACGCATCGACAACAATAGGAGCAGTCTTAATGTACCAAAAAAAGACCACGAGAAAATTTGAACTAGCCTTATATGAGAACCATAAGTTAGAAAAGGACTCCGAATGCTTCGTTTCAGATATTGGGAATCAAGCGAGAGACTAAACAAATAAGAGCAGGCTTGATGAACAGAAAAGTTGGTAAGGTTCCCATCTTCTTCATCTGGAAACGAATGAAAGTTATTTCTTCAAATTAAAGGTAAAAGGCTAAGATAGGCTCAATGGCTCCCGTCAGCGAAGTAGTTCCTTCGTTCACTGTGAGAGACTTGGATAACATTCTACAAACACTCAATTAAAAAGCAGATCCATGTTATTTATTCTTGAAAAGAAATGGAAGGAATTGAGGGAACAGACCAAGAACTAAAAAGCAATACGATCCTGGTAATAGCTATGGCGAATCCCAAATAACGATCTGTGAACGCCCTGAGATAAGAGAGGAGTCTGAGTGGCCCATATACAGGAAAAATGACTAAAAATCGAGCGACAGACCAACTAGTTCACGGCAGTCTTGTGGAGAGAAAAATGGAAAGTATCATGTTTCCCGTGTTTGCTGTTAAGGAACGAATTCAAATGGCTAATCTAGGGTAAGATAGGAGAAATCCAACATTTCGAGACAGCCTTGACCCAGCAAGAAGAGTGGGAGTAGAATTACTTCAATGTTTGCCACTCGTGTTCACGATATTTAAATGGTGCTGTAGGGACGCGCAGAGCCGAGAGACGAATCTAGATGAGCCATTCACGACAAAAGGAGAAAGGTGGAATAATCAACAGATCAAGGTGGTGTTAGCGTGGTAAGAAAATGCAAAGACAGCAAAATATTTAAATGGCACTTTAAGGAAATTTTCAGCAGACAAATGTGGATGATAGGTCCACGACACAAATATGCGGAAAATGAAAGGTAAAGTGATTTCCTTTAATTTTAAATAAGCACGATTCTACTTGACTCTAGGGCTGGTTTGGCTTGTGATAAAAATAATGGATAAGTGGCAATAATGTCTCCTAATGAAAAATTGGCTCATTAAAAACGTGCATAACATAGGCACCAAGGGCAAAAGGAATATATTAAAAGTAAAAGCAAACAAGAGATATTACTATTCGACTGACATAAGGTAATGCGACATTCTACTCTAATAAACCATTAATAAGTTGAATAGAAAAAAAACAGCCATCACTAAAGGATAAAAAATTATTTTGAAGGTCAGCAATGATTCGGTGAATATCTTCGTTAAGAAATTGAAAAAGTGCAAATCTATTAAGATTCATGACCCATGAAAGTTTACAAATTAAAAACTAATGCAATAGGATCGCAGCTAACAAGATGTAGCGTGGGTCGAGGTTCTAGGAATATACCACTCGAGATAGAATTTGATGAACCAGAAATCACCCAAAAATTCGTGGACAAACATCGCTGTAATTCATGAAAGAGATTCACTGAGAGAGATAATATGAGCCGCTGCGATGAGCTTAATGCAGACACCGATGACAGCTTTGAAAATGGATCAAAACGGTACGTTTTGCACAAAAAGATGCTTGGCAAAGTTAGCCAATTACAAGATTAAATTCAATGCATGAATTTATGGGTTCCAGAAGAAATAACGCATTGAACACCCTGAGACGGCACGAGAAAATAAGATAAAGTCCAAGTAAAAGAACTTCTCGAAAGATATATGCGAATTACGCTTAATGAAATCACCACTAAAGCCCTCATTTGGAGTCAAATAGAATCAATAGCTAAAATAGCAGTTCAGTTGCTCCCAGTTTATAAGTCTCGATAAAAAAACGCAACCCACTACTAGACGGGCCAATAAAAAGGAACCAGTCACCAGAAATAATACAGTCAAACTAACAAAGTATAATGACAGAAAATGAATTCCTAGTGGGGCTTAAAACAACTTGATTAGAAAATGAAAATGAGAGAACTATGAATTTACCAACGTGAAAAATTCCTTAGAGAACACCAAAACGCACTATAAAACATTTTAGAAAACAAGAAAACGTACCAAAATTAGGTCTAGTCTGATTAGAAGGATAATGTGACTGTTTTCCGGGATCAAAGTCGATTTTATCCTTCAAATCTTCCTCATTTTCCTTCTGAAACTTCAAGCCTAAGGTAAGCACGGTCATGAAAAGAACTGAAAATCCTACCAACATCATCCCATAGAGCAGTAGCCTCATCACGAATTTCCTCGCATTCGTCAATATATCCACTCAAAATTAGGGGAACTAATTTCGAGTGGTAGGAGTACCGGTCCATGAGATTCAGCAGCCACTCCCCAACTACTTGGATCACCGCCTTTCGAACTGCTATAGACGGGTCAAAGAGACGCTGCGTCAACGGAGCGATTGTATAGTCGACAAACTTGCCGTTGCAATATTCGAAAACCACACCGATAGCTTCCACGGTTGCGACGCGAACTTTGTGTTGCTGATGTACAACATTATTCAACAGTGGCTTTAGTACGGTTTCAGCAGAGTGATAAAACAATGAAGGAAATTTCTTCGCCAAAACTCGGAGAATGTCACAAGAGAGAACCTTCGCCTCATGGAAACTGTCCCGAAGGGAATGACTGAGTATAAGGCAGTAGTCATCAACACAAGAGGAGCCATTTTGAAGCTTCTGTAATATGCTTTTAAGGAGTTTCAATGAGCAAAGACGAACCTCTTCGGATTCTTCAAGAGATTCTTTTATGGTAAGACGTTTGACTAAAATTTGCGTTATGTGAGGGATAAAACAATCTGAGGTATAAACGTATTCGCAAAGCTTGGAGAGAATACGAAGTGACCCCTCGCGATAGCTTTCGACGGGATCAGAGACCAAATTTACAAGGTGTGGAATGATCCAGGAGCAATAAGATTTGATTTCTTCTATGCTTGCGTATTGAATGTTTTCATCACAATCTCGCTCAATAGCAGTCAACGACTCTTTACGTTTAATTTTACTGCCGCTAGCTAAGAGAGTAATAATACGTGATGACTCAGACACCAGAAAAACCATATCTAGTTGAGCAACTGTGAATAAATATGGGGCTCAAAAACACCAAACAACTATAGGATGTACTTGCATGGATTTCGCAATGTGCGGGTCTATGGTTTGCACCCATTGGTTACAATATCGTTATGCCAAATTAAGGCATTCATTAAAAAACAGGCACAAGTTTATTCGACAAAATATTAAGATCAGTATTTAATAATTCCGATTTTATGAGCATCTCTAAACGAGTATGGGAAGTGCAGCCAGCCATATGTATCAACTAAAAGAGGGCATTATTTTGCAACTGAATAATGTGGAAAGTGAAAGTAGGCGGAAGGCTAATAGTGATAACGAAGGAATGGGCGTCTGTTGTAAGGCAAATCCATTAAAAACTAGCCCATGTTCGTGGGCAGGGCTCTTTTTATAAGATGAGGTAAGATTCGTTCGAAGTTAGTTCAGTGACCACAAAGTAGAACTGGGTTTTTTTTTTAACATCCTTAGCTCGTAACGTCATGGTTGTTCACCACATAATGCATTTTCTAAATCTTTTATAATCTTGCACTGCAGCCGAAACATTTGTGTGGGCGGGACTGGAAGGTTATTGACATAGTCCGAATACCATAACTCAGGACGGAAGTATATTTCGGGTAGTTAAACAGGCTTTTGGTAGGAATTTGCATCAATTTGTTGTAATTGTAATACGATAGTGGTTTATTCCTCGGTTCTGGTGAGGCGCCACTTTTGTACTTGGAATTAACCCCCTTGTACCTCGCTGGGTGGGCTGGCCTTTTGGGCCACGCCAATAGCCCAGACACCTTCTCAGTGCTGAATATATATATTCTGCCCGAGTATTGTGCCTTCTTTTGTCTTAAAGGAGTCTCGGGACGCTACATAATATTATGCAGGAGATTATGTATTTCTCTCATCCGCTTCTATTTGCATACTGTCCGAACGCGGAAAGTGCGTATAGGAAGATATCTTTTGTTTAATCAGAAACTTAGGGGCTTACAGGTTATCAAGGTTTCCTCCTTAGAGGTCAAAAGCATCCGCTCCGAAACAGGGGGTGTAGACCGACAATCTTCACCTAAAAGGCATATTCAGTCAAACACTTACTGTATATATTCGGTAAAGTTTCTCTTACATTAGAGTTAATTGGCTGTATTACAGATACAGTGGCGTGAATGCGTAATACGAGTGAGAATGCTTTGATTTTTACCCATACTGGTACTTAGATACGGGCTAGAAATACAATGTCTTTGTACATTTTCCCTTGTGCCTCCGGTTTCAGTCCCCTAAGCAGAGGAGAATACTTTTACACGATAGGCTGCAATGGGATGGCATCGTTTCTGCATTGCAACTACAATGCTTAAGTTTGTTGCATAGAACTATTCATTTACAGTTCAACTGAAATAAACTAATATTCTTTAATCGTGTTGCAGATTGCTGAATCAAAGTGCGATAGATCGTTGGGACCGAAGACCCACCACCTCACTATCGCAGTGATCCTAGGCGGCATGTCAACTTATCTTTACGGTGTTTTTCGTTTGTGTTTACGCTTACTGCGAAGGAGAAATAAGTTTCAAAGTGCATGAAGGAGTTTTGGCACGAGACGGGGTTCACAACAATTCTTCTCCATCCTACAAAAAAGTGCTTTCACCGTAGATAATAAGGAGCTATTTGTAAGTGCCTTCCAGGAGTAATGTAATATTTTTACAGTGAAATCTGGTTTTTTTCAATTAAGCATCTGGAAGGGTGAGCAGAAATCGAGAGTCATTTTCTGCAAACCGCCCCTAGGTGTAATGAACAGATTTGTTTTGGCTAAAGTGTCCTACAATGTTTAATCAAATTGAGATTACGCTGCGGCATTGCAAAAATTCAATTCTTTCACAAATACATTAAGGAAATGGAAGCTTTTTGAACCGTAGAATAGCAGTCTCTTCCCTTGAGTTATTTCAAATAAGCCACATAGCATTGATGTTTGAATGTTTAGTAGTTTGTCTTCTTCACCGTGACCAATTCACCATCCTCCTCGAAGACCGTGATAGTGGATGCAACCTTACTGCGAATGTGCTTAAGGTTTGATGGCCTGTTGACACAAATGACATGAAAGGAACTCCGTGGTACTTGGATAGAAAACTAAATGATGGAGACTGAAGAGATCGTGCTGTTAAATGTGCAATAAGCATTGAGGTAAAGGCGAAAATACTTGAAAAGCCTTCTACTGGGTGAATACCATCAACCACTTCAGTGGGTGTAACAATGACTCGCATTTCTACCCGATTTCAGTAAACTTGCATGCCGTTTTCTTCGTATCACAGTACTTTTAGCTCGGGTCCAAAATTTTCTATCAGAGCTATGTATCAACAATTTGTCAGTTAGCATTTGGACAGTAAATATATCTCTTATAGTTGAATAAAATATCCCAAACAAATCGCTTCCAGGAGTTTCAATACTTAGGTGAGAACACGCTCTCTGGGATTTGGGAATACGTACCCTGATATGGGAGTCCTTTTAGTAGCGGTGCACGTTGCCTCCCCTAGGAATTGGTCAATGAGTAGGCGTGTAGTTTTTTTTAATTTGGTGATACCAGAGTGTCCCTCACCTTAGTGAGGCTGCACAGATTGAGGGAGGACTCGTGCTAAAATACTACAAATCAGTCATCTAGCTACTTCGTTTACGGCATTTAAAGGCAATATATAAATGTAATAATTCAGTTGTTAAACTTTCGGTTTTAATAACAGGCCGCATAGAGATTCCTCCATTGTACCTCCGCCTGGCAGCCAGGCCTCTGGGAGGTGTCAGAATGTTCCAGCCCTTCTGTTCGTCGATAGCATATATTCTGCCATAGTATTATCGTCTTCTTTCATCTTTATGGAAGTCATCGAGCACTGCATAATAGCGAACAAGTAAGGAATCTTAAGAATATGCACACTAGGCATCAATAAATTCGGCAAACCACTACAACAATGCTGTGATTTTTTGCGAAATAAATCAACCCAATTTTACGCCTGATTTCTGTTCCTAGTTGCCAATACTTCCACCAGTGAGCTAACGCATTTTTATCTGACAAACTCGTGAAGAGGATGGCAGTACAGGCCGAGTCAGGTGATCTAAGGCAAGTTTGCCTCAATGCTGTGTGGAGTGCAGGATGAAATTAAATGTAAAAGCAAGCCTAGAATTTCAAATCATTTGGGGACCTAAAAAGTAGTCCAGAGTTTTCGAGTGGTGCTCATTCACCACAAAACTGGACTCGCCTCAATTTTTGAATCAGTCTCCGAAACACTCCCTCCAAATGTACATCTATTATTGCTGGGAATGCCATTTCATATATTTTAATCAGAATGATATATTAGAGCACTTTAGGGATGCTCACTATGGTAAGTAGGCATTTCGTTCTTTGATAATAACTAGCCCTAAGTTTCCCACTCTAGTACTATTGCTAATCACCTGTTAGTTACGTTAGAGTTAAGTCTAATGCATCTTGATCACACGCCTTCTGCTATTCTCAAAATCCTCACTACGTAATTTTGCCAGATAATCTGTAGCAGCAATTTCTCAGCACTAGGCGACTAAGGAATCCGCAGTGTGAGATTTACGATGGTCATGATATTTGTCTCGAGTAAGAACATACACGCCACCATTGCTATGGCCGAGGCCTTCTGTGATCTTGCCCAAAGTGGGTGTTCTATGGTGATGTTGGCAGTATTTGCGGGGTGGTGCATGGTGGAGGGAGGCAGGAGGCAGACCGAGTGATAGTTTATGAGTAGGAAAATATAAACGCTATTTGATGTGCATGGGAATATTGGCGACTGACAACTTCATTGGTGTCCGAGCTGTAAAACACTTTATGCGTAGGCATCAGTTCAAGCTTATTTTATACTTAAAGCAATTTGCGATGTTTTTAGATGAATTTCTCCGAATTTGTCCCGTATGCCTTGAGCAGTTTGACAGTATTGGAGAGCTTCTGTTACACCAAAAAAGTATGACTTTTAACTGACATTTTCAAGATGTTTAGCTCGTTTTTAATGGAGATAACCCATTTACTTTTCCCCCATTATGCCTCCCTTAGCTGCTGCTCATTCCGGATGCAATCTTTGTGGCGAAACGTTTCCTTACTTTAGTTCACACGTTGCGCATTGTCTTGATGTCCACTGTCGTAAGTATCATTTACCCACGAAATTAGAAAAAAAAAACTATCATGTCAAAATGACACAATGAGGAACCAATTTTTATGCATATATCAGCTCATGAGTTTAGTTCAAGTGTTGGTCCTCGTTCAAGGTGTTATCAGAAGGCCAGACGATATACGCTACATGTGCTTCGAATGCTTCGAGGAATTTCTGAATCTACGGTCAGTTCAAGATCACTTGTCTCTTCAGCACGGAGGTGAGTAACATTTACTTTGTGTCTGTATTTGACAGTTGTCGATCTACCAGTACCATCTTTCTCTCTCGTTTATAGCAATGTGGTTCACTTTACTCCTATAAGCAAATTAAAAATCCTGCACAACCCTAATCGCAAAAGTAAGTTGCTCAATTCGATTAACTAATTTAAAGTACAAAATCAAGCGGTTGCCTTAATGTATATCACGGTTTTATCGGAATCGCATTTTATTATTTCTGAGGTAGCCTACTGATTATGCTAACCTTGACGGAAAGATTTGCTTCTAATTGAATCACTTATAGAAGGCGTCTCCCCCACGCATTTCTGATGATGTATTTTAACCAGCCAACGGTGACTGGAAAATTCCTCGATTTGCCTCCAACTTGCACTTCCGCCCAGTTTTCCAGTCGATGCAACTGTCACCTCGACCGTGTATTTTTTTATGTTAAAATGAATAAATTATTCTCATTTCAGTGCTTAACCTTGTGGATGCGTGTGTTCTCTTCACTGCATGACAAGTATTGTCGGTTGGGAAGGTGGATTGGAACTTTAGCTGAGCGTGCAATCCAAGTGCCGCCGTCTCGTCATTTTCAGGGATCCACCTCATCGCCTCCAAATACACTAATTCATAGGGTGCCAATGAATTCCAACTTCCTTGGACTTCAACAACAGGATAGCCGAAATACCGTGAGGCGGCGTGTAATCAACCCTTCCAACAGATGGTTTGCCTCATTCCCTCACCTGACTGACAACGGAGCACTCGGGTTGGGTGTGCACGAATTGACGAGGAAGTGGGGCTTTGCACTCACAGACACAGGTGGAAGCTGGGCTTCGCGTAGCTAGCATTGGCAGTCCACCTCACTTTACTTCCTGCTTCGTGGTGCCAATTCGTATCCTTCACATGAGTCTACACTGTCAAATGCTGCGCTTCATGCCTTGAGCTGTCAGGTATCGACACATCCACTTGAATTGTTGTGCAAAGAGACGGCGATCAGGTAGTAATGGCAAGTGAGGATAGTCTGGCGTTCCACTCTCCCAAGGTGGCATTCTTTGACAGGACCAAGTTGAATAGCCGGCTGCAGGAATGAAAGCAATGTGTTGCTGCTTGCAATCAAGATCTGGAGCAGGCCGCGATAAAACATTTGATGACGTAATGGAATTGCCGTGCCCATGTCAATGCATGTCTTCTCTGGGGTCGTAATGGACGAAGACAGTAAGCCAGAACGTGTAGTACTGACGTACAGAAGATGTGGGATGATGTTAGCATGCCTCGGAGGTCGTGCTACAGGGCGGAAATACATCCTGGGCAGGCTGAATCGCCCGCTTAGCCCAACACACAGCTGCGCAGCTATGTCGATTGACTACAGCGCATTAGAGGCCATGTTACACAGCGGAGATATATTCTGCACAGTCTGAATTAGCCTTAGGGATTTATCATACAATCCCCAAGTCGTGCAAGATGGGTATGATGGAACTTTTGGCAAATATTGACAGGGAAATTTTAGTGACATTAACGGTTGGCCTTATGTGACCTTAGGCTTCTGCACTTATGCAATGTAGACTTGTTGCGGGATCGCCCAACTTCAACAAAATTCTCTCTTTTCTTAAACCTCATTATTAACTTCTCTTCTTATGGCATTACGGAACTGATGCACAGTAACCATCTGATGAGAAGGAATCAATGAAGAAATTAGTCAACTGAAAGGTGGACACAGGGGTCGTTTAAATCAAACTGGGACATGCAATCCTACAGCTTTTGAAAGGACGATGTGGTGGTGTGACTGAAGTCAAGTTTGACTTAATACTCTTCTTAACAATCAATGTAGCCTTTGTTATCCACTTCAGTCAACGTCAATCAGGTCAGTCGATCATAGTTGTAGCAAATGTATAGTGGACGTGAAGCGTTGGAAGAAGCTGTATTTAGACAAGGGCTTTAAAACGTCAATCCCTCGTAGCTGCAGAAAAAGGGCACAATTTGATAGCGGAAGCTTCATATGTCCAGCAGTAAGACATTAAATTGGTGTAAAAGTGTTCACTACACCCTATTCTTAGCCTTTCCATAACAATCCTAGATGTGTTGGTTCAATTTTCACCACTAAAGTATTCGTTCCTGCAAACATTCCGTATGTGCGTAAGAGACGGCTCTGTTTGGAGGCATTGCAAGAGCAGTAATTCACGCATTTTTATAAAAGTAAGCAAGGTTTTTACAAATGGAACAGCCCTCTTTTTATGCATAGATTTTTGGGCCTCCGCCTAATTCCTGACCTTAAAGTATTTACTAATTAAGAAGACGTTGACTACAGCTCGAACAGTCCCAAGGCTAGGAACAATTCCCTGTAAAATAAAGCCATAAAGGTGAGAAAAAGGGTTAAAATATGTGTGACGCGCGCATTATATTTATCACCAAGGCTGTCGCTAAATAAAATTTCTGCACATTCTGGCAGCAAACAACAGTGATGATGCATGCAACCGCGTGAAATTAGTGACCGCGGCAGCACACTACGAGTGATTTGGTGCAAATGCGCTAATAGAACCCGCACATGCTGTTAGCGGAGTTTAAGCTAAAGAGAGCATCAATATCCTTTGCAGTGTACAGAGTGCTGTGTGCCATATGCTGATGTTTGACAACATTTTAGGCGGTTAAACCATTCTTTCCGTGTTTTGTGGCACTGCAGCCCTATGAACGATGTACTGTAAGTGAACAGCAGATAGACAATCTCAATGCTTGCGTATTCCTCAGAGCGGATCAGCATTAACC